TTAGAGATTCTTATAAATATCTAAAGAGTCTCCTTTTTAGAATAGGTATTATTTAATACTTGCCATATCCGTAGTAGCTAAGGAGAAATGTTTACTATAAGACAAGCAAATAGATTATCTTATAAATCCCTTAACTATAAAATTAGTTAAAAAGCAAGGTATAGGGAAATGCCTTAAAGGCTTTACTACTATAGCTAAGATAATAAGGGTATTTATAACCATATTACTTAATAGAACTAAAGACTTCTCGGTTCCCCGAGTTTTTAAATTAGATAGTTATAAATACCTAATTCCTTATATATAGATATATATAGCTACTAAAAGAGCTATAGTACTAGCCCCTTTATCTAAATTCTTTCTAGATATTATCCAGGTAGCTTAGAGAAATAATTCTTAATATTAGAATATTATAAAATAGAGGCTTAGTAAGAAAGATACTAAGAGAAAAGAAATCTGGAAAAATAATTCGGGCCTACTCAGGTACTATTCAAGAATTATTATATCTAATAATCCTGCTTTATATTAAGAAGTTATAAAGCTTTATTATAATAACCTAATAACTAGATACTATAGAGTAAAGAAGACTCTCGAGCTTCTTAGAAGGTCCTAGTATTAGGAGAATATGGAAAGAGATATTTATAATTATTATTAAGAATATAATATTTACTAGAAAGTTAAGGCAAAGAGGTATTTACTATATAATCTGCTTAGTAGTTTACTATAGCCTGAGAGATCCTGGGGTAAGATCTCTATAGATTTTATTATAGATCTACTACTATATAAGAATCCGGTAGGAGGTCCCGATTTTAATATAATTCTTATAGTTATTAACTAGTACTCTAAAATAGCAAGGTATATTATATACTATAAGACTATTAACTTTCCGGAGCTTACTAAGATTATATGGGAATATATTTTCTTAATCTTTAGCTCCCCTAATAGAATTATTTCTGACCGAGAAACGGTATTTACTAGCTAGTTCTAGTCTGCTTTTTACTTTTACTTAATATATAAATAGTATTTAAATATAGCTTACTATCCTTAAATAAATAATTAGATAGAAAGGCAGAACCAGGCCCTAGAATACTACCTGAGATATTATTATAATACCTAAAAGAATAACTAGTTTAAGAAGTTATTTTTTACGGAATTTATATATAATAACTCAAAATATTAGGTTTTATAGGATATATCTTTTTATATATATTACGGATACTATTCTTAACTTCTATAGAATCCTGAGGACAGGATTATGGGAGAGGTACTAGCTATATATAGGAGGCTAGAAACCCTTAAAGCAGAATAAAGAAAGCTTAAGAATTTATAGTATTATATATAAAATAACTAGGAAACCTACTATAATAGGTACCGGTTAGCTAAATACTACTCTAAAGAAGCCTGGGTAATACTATTAATGAGAAATATTAAACTTAAGGCAGGAAAGCTTAAGCTAAAATTTATAGATCTATTTAGGATTCTTAAATATATTAGTAATTTAGTATATAAGTTAGAACTACTAAGTATATATAATTATTTATATCTAACTTTCTATATTTTTTTCCTTAAAAAATATATAGTAAAAAAGAATTAGAAGCTATACCTATATCTCTCTAGAGAACTTCCGGAATTAGTAAATAATAATAAAGAATAAGAATAGGAAATAGAAGCTATTATTAATTACTAATAAGATAGTAGAAGTAAAAAGTAATAGTATTTAATTAAATAAAAAGCCTGGCCTAAAGATTATAATACCTGGTTATCTATTTTCCCTAACCTTAAAAATTTCAAGGAACTTCTGAAATTATATAATTAAAACTATAGCTTAGAATCCGAAACTACCTTTTAATAACTTCTTAAGGTCAAAAAGAATTCTAGACTACTAAGAAAAAGGCTACTTAAAAGAAAGAGAGAACCTAAATAGCTAAGAAAAGGCCCGGAATAATAATAGAGATATTCTTTCCCTAGGCTTTTTACCTATAAAGGTTTTCTAGGGTTTTATTAAGGCTTATAAGAATTACGTTTAAATTATTAGAAAAAGGGTTCAGGATTAAGAAAGATTTATTATAGATAGACTAGCTATAGGTATCTCAAATAAATAAACTCTAATTTCTATAAATTCCCAATTTCTAAAGCAAGAATACTAAATACTAGCCCTATTTAGGACTTAATAAAGAATTAGCTAATACTCTCCGGAATCTGCTTATTTCTTAATAAGATATAGTTATACTATAATAATATTAGTATTAAGGATATTAAGAGAAGCAAGTAAGGAACTTATAACTGCCATATATGCCTTATAGAAGGCCCGAACTTCTGAAGTCAGGTCCCGAATAGCCATAAGTATTATATTATTAGCACTTAAAGTACTAGTAATAGATTACTTAGTAATTTCGGTAATAAGCTCGGTAATAAAGTTAATGCCTTAAAGATAGATATTATGGTATTTCTTTAAGAAATTAGTAAGTACCTAAATATATTAGAAAAAACTTATTTTTGGGATACTAACCTAAATAGTATTATTATCTGCCTTATTAAAACGGGAAGAAGAATTCCGAAGCTTATTAGTATCCTTCTAGTCTTCGAAAACCCAATTAATAGTATTATTCTTATTAGTATAATACTATTTAGGATATGCTTTAAGAAATTTCTTAAAAGTTATAATAGTATTTTCCCAGAACTAGTAAGCCTCTAATAAGTAGTAAGAAATCTGAAATCGCATTAGCTTTAATAGATATTAAAGCTAAAGAACTTACTAATATATAAGACTTAGAACCCTTATTATAACGGTTATAATTCTTCTTGCCAGGTACTATGGTATATAAGGTAAAGAGATTAATAAGCAAATACTTAAAATATTTCAAGTATCTGCTAGTAACGGGAAAGGAGGCTATAAGGTTATCTTTGCGCTTATTATTACGGGAATGGATAATAAAGCCAGAAGAAGATATTATGGAATTAATTAAAAATAATTAAAGAAGACTTAGAGAAGAGTAGAAGAAAAGGCTAGAAAGTAATAATAGAAAAAGTTATATATATAGTTATTAGAAAGAAAGAAAGTATATAGTAATATAAAGAGGTCCTTTTATAGAGATAGAGAACTACCTGGATTAACTACTAGTTTTCGCACTAGTCCTAATCAGAAACTAGTATAACCGATTAATATATGCTCCCAGGAGCCCGTAAATAATCTCCAGGACCTTAGAAATATTCATATAGGTTTCTTATACGAATATTTATTAAATACTTTCTATATAGTTATTTAGATTATTCTAATACGAGATCTAATAAGTAGTATTAATTTTATAGGATAGCGCCTTAGTACTTTAGATCGAGCTAATCAGAATACTCAGATCCCAAACGAAATCGTAATTACTAGCTAGCCCCTATACCTGGAATATAATTACCCTTCCTTCTCGCTTACTTAGCCCCGATCTAATTAGACGATTTTTATGTCTATTATCCAGATTATATTAGCAAAACCATTTCCCAAGATACTAGAAGTTTATATTAATTAAATGAATAATCGATTAAATATTTACCAGGATAGATTAATGGATCTTGGGGACAAGATTCTAGGAGGGGGGCATAGTTGTAATATATACAGGGTCGCACGTGACTTAAGGGCATATAATAAACCTCGGATATTGCGGGTATTAATCAGGGAGTTTGGTAGCCCTTTAATATCCCAACTAACTACTATTTATATCATATGTATTAGGCTTATAAATTACTAATTATATATATGCCATTAGGGCCTCCTATTTAGAGGGGGCTTCCCTGGACCTTATAGGAGAAATAGAGATTAGTTCTATACTGAATTTAATACTGTGGTTTCATAATACACTAATTCATTCTATTGTCTTATTGCCTACTAACAAACACCTCACACCTATAAGGCTAGGCTCGTTAGCTAAAACCTTAGTTAAAACTTTAGTTAAAACCAAGTTTATATTAATTATATAATACTAGCTATTATAAATTATATATAAGAAATTTACGAAATTAACTCTTATATAAGCTAATATATTATATAATATATACTTATATTCTAGTTTTTCTTTTTAGCTTTAAATTATTTTTATAAGAAATCTATTATTTTATTTTTTAAGTTTAAAATATTATATTTAATAGTTTTTTTTCTAAAATTTTAAATAATATATAAGTCATAATAAAGCCCCCGGAATATAAACTTATTTATTTAATTAGTTAGAGCCTCTCTTTATATATTAGTAAAGAGTTTATAATATATAAAGGTTATTTTAAATTTAAAGAATTTTAAATTTTTAAATTTTTATATAAGTATTATTTGTTCTAATTTGGACTCCTTAGTAACCTTAGCGTAATTAGGTATTAATTGCCTATCGAACGCATCTAGCGCCTTTTATATATCTTATTTATTAATTATGTTATTAAATTTTAAAGATGGCAGGGTAATTTTCGGTGAAGCATGAATTGACTATACGAAGGCGACAGGCGAAAAAAACCGTCCAAATCCCTCAAGCGAGAATTTGCGTAATCTTAGCCTTGCGATAAAAAATTTGTCGTAATTATAACTTGAATTTAATTCCAGCAAAATTATTATAAAAGATAGATCTGCTTCTTCTCTATTACACAAATTAAAAAGTAAAGAGTTTAGACGTTATATTGAACCTTAGTGTGATTTTCCACAGGTAGCGATTTTGGTGTTCCTCGCGATTTGGCAGGTGGCCGGTTTTTTTCGCCCGTCGCCTTCGTAGGCATATATTGACCTAGGATCTCGGTTACCCCGCCAAAATCCCTCCCGAAAGTCTTCAAGATCAAGTGGCTGCGAGATGCTGGAACAGCGGTATAGAGAGCCGCAATGAAGGAGCACATTGACACGTACTTGAAGGAGAACAGTCTAGACGCTCCCCTGGACGAATCCACACCAAACACAGATCCAAGATGCTGTATAAGCGAGGGTTGTTTTTTGCTTGAGTAATTTAACATGTTGGAGCTACTTCTGGATATTGATGTTCTCTGCCTTGTTAACGATAAGAACTAAGAGAAGCGCATCTACGGGAGGAGAAAGGTCTTAAATTGGCCTGATTCCATGCATGCGTTTCTGAACGAGGGTGTATACGTCACGATGAAGCTCCGTGTGCTCCCCGAGGGAAGCGAGGAGGATAGTGAGGGGCTGGGTCTGCCACCCACTCTGGGCGACTACATCGTGAAGGGGACGGACAATCTTCTGAGGCAGGCTGTTCGGAGAGGCCTAGAGAAGGCCGAACTAGTCCAAACACAGCCGAGTGAGGAGCCCGAACGGAACGATGTCTTGCATGATATGATCGAGGAGTGCTTCGCACCCATGATATAATTCACAATTCCCTCCCAAGAACTCCAAAACCTCTCCCGCGCTCCTCCCAACCTGATCGCTCCCACCCTCCGCAAATACTACATGTAAATAAAATCAACGCTCAAATTCCACAACCTTTTGAGTATCGGTGCTCGCCTGACTGATGCTCCTTGCACGATGAGCATCGGATCCCTTGGGGCTCAATGTCCCTTGCTTGACCTCACTGACTCCGTCTAGGCTGCCTTTAATACTCCCTGCTTCAGCATCCGCACCCTCTAGTAAGTCTCGATCTTCCGACCGTACACTCCTACGTTCTGCATCGCCGCCGTATCCGCCAGCAGCTCCCTTGCCATCATAACCTTCGTCTTCATCTTCGTCGTCCTCTGGTCTCTGCACCGCGTTCTTCTCCAGTTCCTTCTGCGCTTCATCCATTCGTCGCCTGACCTCTGCCGCGACGCGCATCCCGTCAGTGACAATGTTGTCGAGAACACCGCGGAGGCCTTTGCCGGGAGGTACGAGACCAGCTGACCCTGTACCACCTATGCCGGCTTGCGATCCGGCAGTTGATCGTCCGAATCCGATGTTGGAGAAGGTAGTGAGACTGGATGAAGAAGATGCGGGCCCAGTTGAAGCAAGCTTCTCCGAGATTCGGAAGGATGCAGGGAAAGAAGATTCAAAAAATTGCTCCAGTAGCTCGTCTGCGAGAACAACCATACGGAATGTAGGCAAGGTGATATGGAGCGGTTTTGAGGGATCGAGAGCGGCGTTGGCACGCTCTGACATAGCTTTAGAGACGTTGCGTTGGTTTCCATTCGACTTCGGGCTGTCTGATGGAGGAGGTACTGATGACAAACCTGTGGATTTCTTTGCCCGTTTTGGGCTTGCATCAGTACCGAGATCTAGAAGGTCTTCCTCTGGTTCATCGTCACTATCTTCGCCAATACCAAATGCATTGCTTTCAGCGTTCCCATTCGTCTTGAAGTCTTCGCTTGTTTGATTCTGGGGATGATCCGGATCTGCATATTCAAAGCACCTTCTGATGAAGGCACTCACAGAGCTCAAGAAACGTTCTTGTGTACTCCCATGAGGGCCATCGATTACACCGCCGTTTCCGGCTTCATATTCGCTGAGTCCTGTCATCGAAGTCGAAGGGGTCAATGAACCATCCAGACCACGGCGCGAAAGGAAAAGCAGTGCCTCAGATATTCGCAAGATCCCTTCACGGTCGACCTTTCCATCCCCATCATCATCGTAGAGCTCGAAGAAATACGTGATGCTTCCCATGATATCACCTTTACCTTTAATGTGAGCTACTCCTGTAACGACGTTCTGTAATGTCAGAGCAGAGTTCATATCCACGTCCCATCGTCTGAATAATCGTCGCATAAATTCGTGATCTGCTGGTTCGGGGTTTCCATAACCCCACGGAGACAGGGAATTTTCCCTTCGTCGAACGCTGTTGCCAAAATAAGAATGCTTTTCGCGTTCGGCAGGGTTGTCTTTCTCTGGTGGTGTTGGAAAATCCGAGATCGCCCATCTCGCCATGCCAGCCAGGAATTCCCTAAATCCATCATAATCCATGAGTGTTGGGCTAGGTCCTAAGCCTACCCGACCTTTCTCGATGCTCTGTCGCTCTGCAAGTCCCGCAACAACCTCAGCAGCCCTAGCTCTGCTAGCCTTTGCCCGCCTTTCTGTCTCTTCTTGAATGATCTGGCTTCTCTGTTGGCGCTCGTATAATATCCCATAAAACCTATCGTACAATGCACCCAACTCATCGACGCTTAATCGCTTGCTATCCGGTCCAAGATTGCGAATTGACGTCCGCTTTGCAAAACTCTCGATGTTATTTAAAACAGCATCCTTGTGCTTGTTCCGCTGATCCGTAATACTGGCTTGGGTGATTCCAGAGAACTCCTTAAAGGCCACCACCATCAGTTCTTGAAAACGTGTCACAGCTCGAAGCTTGGCATTTTCTGACTTGGGATGTGCAGATTCGTCAAGCTTGGAGAAATATGACTTCAGCACCGAAATAAATGCTCCGTCGTCCGTGGCGTCCAGGAGTTCCTCTCCGTTAATCCGTAAGATGGCCAGTCCAACTTGGAATAGAACCTTCGGACCTTCCAAGAAGAATACGTCCAAAACACGAAATGCAAAAACCAAAGGCATCGAGTTGATATATAGTGAAAGGAACCAGGGGAGAGATACAACTGAGAGTTGGACGTCAGATTTGACGAGGTGATCCCAGAGAATTGGCATCGTCTTCTCCACCAAGGATTCGAAGACGCGTTGGTCCAGTAATGTGCCGTACATTGTCGTTGAGTAATATCCGGGTAGAAGTCTGTCACACAATGTCGAAAGCAGGAAGAACGCTTGAGATTCCGACATGTATATGAGTAACGCCGCAACGACAATGTTCATAGCCTGGCAGTATCCGACTTCCTCATTCGTCCAACTGTACGCCGTGAGAACTCTCCTCAGCCGCCCGATCCCTTCCTCGCTCTGGAAGCCGGGGTATTCTGGAAGACTTCGATTCAAGTCCTTTTCGATTTCGTCAATTGCAAGGGAATCTCGTCCTTCGAATTTTGCAAGAGTGTCTACGAATAGCGTGGGATTCTCCAATCGTAAGAACAAGGACCCAGAAGTCAACTCCCAAATCTCCCCGCGGAGCCGGTTGGGTAAGCCAACACGGATCAGCTTGTGAAAGGTAGGTTGTCGAATCAAAGTAACATTGCGTCCGTTTTCTCGCAGGTATTCTCCCCAAAGCCTCATCTTGCTCCTGTCTCGTAATTTCCGCACGTCGCCAGGGTATCGAAACACCATCCCGAGTCCCGCATCGGGTGGATCTCCGAATTTCTTCCCATCGCCTTGTAGTAGGTATTCTGAATAGCATTCTGATACCACTCTCTTCAGTTTTCCAACCTCTCCAACGCCTGACTTGAGACCCCTTTTTAGCCCATCACAGAAACTTTCACAAGCTTGGCGGCTGCCCGCCAGTTGTATCGTAATTTTCTGTTGGTAAACAGGGGTCTTGGAAGCATCGTTCGAAGCATTGTTGCTGATTCCGTTCCATGTCGTTATAGACAAAGCAAACTAAGTCCTAATCAGCTTTTATGTAGAAGGGCAGAACCGTAGAGCAGACCTGATAGCTTTGACTATGCAGCCGTTCAACTCGCCGGATAGCACACAAAGGAAGCGTAAACCCATTCCCTCCAGGCCCAGCTCCGTGAGTTTGTCCTGTATATCCAGATGATATGCTGGTGCTTGCAGTAGGGAGGAAGCTCGTCGGTTGCGTTGAGAAGCAGAGGTAGGACTCGCTCAAATGCAGCTTCCCGGCATAGTGGTATCCCCTCTCTCGGTCCCTATCTTTCTCTCCTTGTGTTGCATTCGGAGCGTAGGTGATCGGTGGGGATATGGTAAGCTCTGCAGTGATCTCCTGGAGAGGTGTCTGGGACTCCGGCAGTCGAAACTGATGGCGGAAGAGGAGGGATTTCGCAGGATTTCGGTCGGATGCAGATATGTTCAGCGCTTGCATAGGATCAATGAACGACTGCGCCTTTTGCACAAGGCTGGAGAGGTTGAACATGGCTCATGGTATCTGCTGCGTTGAGCAGCGTGTCGTTTGGGTGCTGAAGGGCTGAGGTTTCGATGTCATCCCGCCGCATGCCCTCTCGCGGTACTTGGCGCCTGCTGCTTTAAGGTTACGCGATGGTTGAAACACCAATCAAGAAGTTTGCCCCTGAATAGACACAATTCGAGGCTCTGGGCGGATTAGGTCCTCCGTTTATGATATTATCGAAATGGTGAGTTAGGAAAGAATTTCCGAAAAGGTTTCGATCATCAGGGACTCGAGTCCAGAAAGACCTTCTCCTCGTGCAGGAAACCCCCCCCCGGGCCAGAGACCAGGTCACGTGCAAAAAAGAGGGTTCCAGGTTTTGAAGAGGCTATTTTGATGCTCATAAATTTTAAAGGGCAAAATTGGGATCCGAGCAGCATCTTGAAAACCTATCTGAGATGATAAGAGCATATAGTTCAGTGTATCATTCAAATAAAGTAAAATAGTTCTACCGTTGCCCATCTCCCGTCGCGGACGGTTTCACTCTTTCACAGCAGACAGGATACGTGGCTCGGTGTAAAAACCCAATCACTCCCTGCTAGTTTAATGACCGATGAACTGTTAGAATTGTGGGAGGGTATGTCCCATAGCTTCTTCATGTTCTCTAACTCCCCAGCCTCGCTTGTAGAATGTTTAGTTGTCTTGAGACATATCATACTGCAGCAAATTTGCACCGCTGATAAGGATTCTTGAGACAAGAACTCCCACCTTGGTCTATGAGGCATCGGAGTCTTCCCAACCTTCTTCACTCCTCATCTCTTTCCACTCCTTCGCCGGACCAGTGTTCGTCAGCTCAGTGTTCCCTTTCAAAAGCTCCGGCTTCGACATGAAGAGCCGTGACAAAAGTAAGACGGAGTCATAGGACTTCCCGCTGGATTTGACTGCCAGCTCGTCGTTGCACGCCGCAGACTTAGATGATTTTCGCTCACATTGACCCTACGGCACGGTCTTTATTTAGCGCCCACCTCGCCCCTGAACCACCATCAGCCCTCAATCCTCACCCTCAACAAACAACAACATGAGTACAGAACCAGTTGGATGGCATTCATTTAGCAGACAAAGCAAAACTAGCTTGCCTGGACATGCCGCCGGAGAGGAAGAAGATCTCTTGCTCTGAGAGGAATCGGGCTTCGAACTGGAGTGTGGAAGTATGCAAATAGGCAGGAGATAGGAGATCGCGAACTTAGTACCCCCCCCCCCCCCCCTCCCCCCCCTTTTTTTTATAAAAAAAACCATGGCAAGAACAAGCGTTTTAGGAAGAGGATTACCACGCAAATGTTATGACTGAGGGATTTAGGAATAGGGATATACCAGAGGAACGCGAAGAGGCGCATTCGGTCTGACCTCGGTAGAAGGAGGGCGTGATATAAACCGAACGTATCTTCACCGTACTCTCAGTTGAAACTTGAATTCCGCAGCAAGTGGCTGTCTAAGACTAGGCTTTATACTCTGACTATGCGTAGCTGCAATGTCCATTGAGTCTTGAGGAGGAGACTAGGAAGAGAGAATGCTGTCAAATGCCAAGTTCTTTAGGGCCCCCGTCTACCACACTGGCCAGTTCTCAGTACTTGCACGTCGAGAAGAATAAGTGATTCGGAACCACTCAAAAGAGGGCTGGATGAACAACCCCGTGTCTTGTATTCGTATTCGGAACCTCCTCCGTCCCCCTTAATAATATCTATACACTCGTCACCTCCCGCATTCATCATTCATCCTATCTCATCCCATCCCTCATCCCCTCCCGTCTCCGCATAAAACACACATTATAATCAACAAAAAAAACAAGGCAAGCATCGTATACCCTTGCCAACGCTCCGCCAACGCCGGGAGATACCCACCCTCTAAACGCCAGCTACCGAATAGCATGTGTACGTATCGTATATAACTTTTGCTGAATGAAAAGCCATCAGGGACCCATTCCCTCATCATTCCTTCTCTCCTCTCATTACAAATCTCATCCCCCATTACGATGCCTGCCGAATGGCCGACAGCTTATACTTTTACGCAGCAATAGCACCCCCTTCCTCCCTAATGCCCGCGACATTAGCCCTGCTACTACTCGCCGGATTCGCACTCCCCAAACTCGCGCGATTCTTCTTCTTCTTCTTTTCAAGCGCCGATTTACCCTTTCCTTCTTTCTCGGAATCATGCGCGGAGTTGGTTGTCGATTGCGAGAAGTCCTTCCATTTGCGCCAGCCGTCGAAGTCGATTAGTGCTTGCATGCAGCCCCATTCCATGACCTTCCGTTCGAGCCAGACGAAGTTGACAGGCTGTTTGGTTGTTAGCTCTATCTTCTTTGAATTTTGACAAAGGGGGTGGGGGAAGATACGAACCTTGGTAAGGAAGTCATTACATCCCGCAGCCAACGCTTCATGTCTGTCCGATTGCAGCGACGAGGCAGTAAGAGCGACGATAATGACGGGCGATTTGAACATAGCCGTGCTGGGCAATCTATCATCGTCCTCCACTTCTCCATTGCCTTCCTCGCCAACCTCAGGCGCACTGCTACTGGCACTACTGCCAAAAATACCAATACAATTCACTCTCTCCAGTCTCCGGATCTCCTTCGTAGCTTCCAATCCACTCATGATAGGGAGCTGGATGTCCATGAGGACTAAATGGAAACCGCCGGCTCGCCATTTGGTTACTGCTTCCCGACCGTTCATGGCTGTTTGCCAACGCACTTTTAGACGCTTCATGAAGGCTTCGAGGAGCTTGAGGTTGATAATGTTGTCTTCAACGATGAGGACGTTGATTGGGGGGACGGCACCGTTGAGCATTCCTGCGGGCAGGGAGGGGTGCTCTGCGTTTGTTTTCTTGGCTTTCTTTGCTCGTGCTACAGGCCTGGGAGACGAGACTCGCGGAGGAGGGGTAGCGACGCGTTGGACTTGAAGATTGTCGGAAGGTTGAGGCGCTGGTGGAGTCGGTAAGGGGGGAGCGATAGGCGGGGCGTTGGAAGTTTCTGAGGCACTCGAGTGAGTGCGTGAGCGCGGGGCTCGGAGGAAGGGTAGCGTACCATTGTTCACTATCGGGGCCTGGGCGCTGTTGCCGATTACCGTGGGGGACGAGGTGTGTGTACGGCCTATTCTGGGTCTGTCTCTGTGGTGTCTCCTATTGCTTCCAGGAGAAGGGAGAGCCGGGACGTGACCTGTTGTGAGGACTGACATTGAATGGGTGGTCAGTGAAGGGTGATGAGGGTTTGCCTGGCCATTGACTACTGGTGCGGTGTTCGAAAGTTGTGGCAATGGAGCCGTAGGAACCGGCATGGGAGGAAAGTAATCTGAGCCTCCCTCTGCAGGTCGATTTTCATCATAGTAACCCCGTTGTGGTTGGGGGGAAGGCTTCGGTGTCCTTCTCAACGGGACATCGATAATCAACGCCTCATCCACAGTCTGTCCTCCCGGATAGTATGCATCCAATGTCCTGGTCATCGGCTCCTCTGGTCCCAAAGTCCTCTCCTGTCTCTGTTCTCGAGGGGCAATCCTCAACGTGACATCCGGAGCATCAAAATTCCTGCCCAGCGAATTTGCATACTTCCGCAAAATCATATCCCGCACATCATCAACCAAATCATCCTCATGAATTTGCACCAGCGTCGCCGACTGCTGCGGCCGCTTGACCCATATCTTCCTGCTCACCATATTGGGACTGATAGTCGAGGGCCCGTTTGCCGTAAAATAATCAAGATTTGCAGCTCTGGATTGCGGAGGCAATTCCGTCTCCAGTAACGTCTTGATCAACCTCGTCTGCTGATGCGGCAACAGGCTCTGTCTCCTCGAAAGGCCCGACGGTCTCTGCGTGCTAGAAGTATTGTCGCTGCCAGTGCCCGGGGCCGGAAAGTTTATCTCTATATTCCTCTCCTCGGCACGGCCCTCATTCTCCTCGTCCTCCTCTCGCACAGCAGGGATATCGGTATTCGGGGTCGGGAAGTCGGCGGTCGCGGACGAGGAATCGTGTTTCTGGTCGTCGAGATTGGCTTCGAGGGGGTTTGCGAAAGTTGTTGATGGAGATGCAGATTGCAGATGCAGATCGCTGCTCGTCTCAGCTAACTTGACGCTGGTGGCCTCGTCCCGCTCATCAACCTCATTCTTAGGTCCAATAGCCTCGTCTTCAATCACTCCACGCAGAGGGGATTCCTTCTCGTCGATTGTCGCGCCGTCGAATGTCGAAGCGGGTCGCTGGCTATGCCGGGAGCGTAGAGAGCGGGGGGTCTTGCGCGTGGGTGTAGGAGTTGTTGGCGTTTGTTCGCCGTCTGCTGAGGACTGAGAAAGCGACGAAGCAGTAGAATGCCTCCTACTGAACTTGGCTCGCAGTCTCGTCTTGAGCTCCCCAATTGCCATGGAAGGCTTATCACAGGCGATGGCCTGCCCGCACTTCGGATGCGCGGTGCAAAATTTTCGAGGAAAACGTTGGGTTCCCTCTAATTTTCGGTAGGGAGATGGAAATGCGATGCGTTGTCGTACGGGATTTGTGATTTGGCAATGCGCTTCACACCATCGAGGATAACAGAAACAAATCTGATTACGTTGAAGACGTACCGAAGACTTCCAAAGAAGTCATTGATGGCAAGGCAAGGCGTATTTCATTATCTACTACTCAGATTTAATTCCATTCTATAAAAGACATCCTGCACTTCTATCCGGGGCACATTTTGCCCTCAACCGCGCCTCGCTTTCATCCCATTCGCGAGTTGCCCCTGTCACCGCGTAGAACCGAGGATTGGAGGATGCAAGCTTCCTTGTCATCGAAGTCTTGAATCGCGCTGAAAATGGTAACCATTGGTGAGGCACACCTCCATGTATTCGCCACCACAATGCGGGAAAGCCCATATCGAGTGAGATATCGCCACAGAGAGGGGGTCATAGCCTGTAATGTATCCTGGGGAGGCAGTGGAGCTGTTATTTTCGGTGGCGGAAACGGCTTGGTGTAGCTCGGGGGGAAGAGACGTCGATACTTTGTTCATTTTGGAGCTCGGGAGAGATCGAGATATTGGAGGATATGCTGCTCTGGCCATGGTTGAGAGATGGGTGAAAGATGTTGTAGCTGGGAATAGGCAAAATAAAGTGGGTCACACTGATATGCCTCATGAAACAGATTCGGACCACGAGTTCTGGATTATGTATAATTTCATGCGCCCACTATCAGCGAAAGGGGCGCCAGTAATCTCTATGCAGCAGTATGCAGATACTTCTGAGCCTATCTTCCATCTCGACTCGACGAAGTAACGCAGACCAGGAGGTGAAATGAATACCTGCTTATGCCGTGTACACAGGCCGAAGAACCTCTCAGACACCAAGATTGCCAACTTCCAACCTATTTTGCCTATCCAAAGACATGAGGAGCCTTGCCCCTGAGGCAGGCCAAGCCTCTCGCATTAACAGGTCCAATTACTCCCGCTAAGACCAGCCATGCAGAAATGCAGAAATGCAGAAATGCAGAAATACAGAAATACAGAGGGCCCAGAACCATTCACATATCCGTACTGCCAGGAAGCCGAACGAGTCTATGTCCCAAGTGCATTTTCGGAGGGAGATGGTCGTGCGTAACCACTTTCCCCAATGGCTTCATAGAAGTCCGAGACTTCGATGCATCGATTGTTACGGCGGGGTCATCATACGTATCGACCTGACAACAGTCGACGTTCTTGAACCATCTATCTTTTGCAACCTTCGCCATTGTGATCCGCTTCGACGGATCCGGGTTCAACATAGTGAGGAGCATACGCCTCAAAGCCGGAGGGTTGATATGCATATCGAAAAACGCCACGTAGGGATAGTCATTGGTGTTAATCTCTGGCGACTCTTGACCAGCGTGCTTTGCATACCACTTCGCCCACCCCTTGACAAGATCGTCGTACAAGGGCGAACTGCCAGGAGTTGCCTCCTGCCATAGATTACCATTCGCCGTCATGCAAAGCATCACAATGGCGGCTCCCCATACATCCAAGGGACGAGGGTCGTACTCGCCTATTTGCTACATTAGATTTTCTCAGTTGAGATTTTTCTTGAGTTGCTTACCCTTCTTCGCGATGACTTCAGGGGCCACATAAGGAGGGCTACCACACATACCAGGAGCGCAAAGTCTAACCTCGCCCATCTCCTTTCCGCACTGTCCTCCAGCTGCTCTTAATCCAGGATGAATGCCAGCAAAAACTTCAGAAACCCCAAAGTCCGTTATCTTGAGTTTGCTCTCTTTCGTGATCAACAGATTCTCCAATTTGACGTCACGATGAGCAATGCCGTTGTTGTGGAGGTAGTTGAGACCTTGGACCAACTGCTTGAACAAACATAGTCGATCATTAAGGTGGTCTTCCTTGCCAAGATATTTCAGGGTGACAAGACTGAAAAGGTCGCCCTGGTCACAGAACTCCATCACGTGGTTCCACCGTCCATTGTGCTTACATAAACGGAACGTTTCGACGATATTGGGATGGTGGACGCTCTTCGCGATTGAGTATTCTGATTTGACTTTCTGTTCGTAATCTTCGGCCTTTTCGTTTGTTGACTTTCCACGGAACTCCTTAACCGCATAGACCTCTCCAGCGCAGCCCTTCCGGTGCATAAGTCTCACATTGGCTGTAGCACCCTTCCCGACATGCTTCCCTCGTCGACCAACTATCTTGCTCTGATCCGTATATTCAGAGTAGAGTTCGACAACGTCCACGGTGAAGTCATCAGGAAGGTTCAAGCTCATCCGTCGTGATTTCAGGCCGGTTCCAGCATCAGCTGCCATGCCCCATATCTGCCTAGTAGGAAGTTTCACTCGCAGGTCATCGGCAGGATCAGGTATATGACTCTCAAGGTCTACGCTTGTAGCGCGATGCCGTCGCTTGTCATTCTTAGGTTCCTTGTCGGTGGGTGCAAAGGAGATCTTGGACTTTGTATTTGAAATCTTGTCCCGAAGACTGAAGCCCGTGGACGAACGGATCTTTCTCCTGTAGGCGAAGAATTCGTCGGTCGAGGGATCTCGTTGAATCGGCTTTTGTTCGCTCTCTACAGCAGGTGACCCGGGTGAAGGCGGGGTGTTCGATCGAGTGGTGTATGCAGAATTTGTGGCTGACATCCTCCTCGTTGGCCTTCTGCGCTGCCCCTTCCCGAGTACTGGATCCGATCCATGGGCTTGGGTCAGAGGTTGGATATTGAGGTTCGCCTGTTGAGAATTTGATCTCTTGAAGAGTCCCGACAATCCTCGCTTTATGGCTCCGTCTTTTGATACGACAGTGGAAGCGGTCGGCCTTTTCTGCAGTGGGGTGATTGGAGTCTTTGGTGTCTGCTGGGGGAGAGACTTTGTGTCCTTCCCAGCTGAAGGTGGTGGTGTCGCAGGAGTATTCACAATGAGAGGAGGCCTTGGCTGGATTGGCCCGAAGGCATGGGCATTGTCCGAATTGCCCTTGCCATTCATTTGTAAGGTATGTGGATTGTGGCTGTCGGTTGGTGTGACGGGTTCCGCAGCCTCACTGCTTGTCTCCTCTTCTTCTTCCTCCTCCTCCTCCTCCTCCTCCTCCTCTTCAGCGATAGGGTTTCTGAGGTCGACGGGTCGTAATTCGGGCGAGGAAGGGTGACTCGAGCTTGACAGTTGCGGATCGGTCTGCAGTTTGAGGTTGGCTGGGTCATGGTGCGAGACCAGCGTCGACTGAGGCGTCATTGTAGAAGTCGACATTTTGTGTGAGGAATGCAATCAATTGCTGGCAATACAAAGAGCGTATTTGTAGGGGAATTGCCCTCGAACAAACCCCTCGGAGGTCGCCGAGTCTGCTGGTGTTCTGATCACCCCTTTCCTGACTGGAGTGGTGAAGCTGGAGCTGGCCTCGATTGAGTCGGTCTCAATCCTGAGATGATGAGAAAATCCGACAAAGGCACATATTGTTCGTCGAAACTAGTCAATAATAAGGATTGCCAAGGTCAATCTGGAGTTCGAGTAGTACCCACAAGCTCGCACAATAGCTTGGTAAGGCTGTAGGATCTTGGCCGCGGGAAACGAGGTGGATTATGAGGGCTCGGGCGGCGGCTCTTGCTCTTGCTTTTACTAGGAGGCTGCAGCAGGTGCAGGAAGGTTACTTATTGCAGGACAGGGCTCGAAAAGTGCGCCGTAGGCCGTGCGCCGTGCCAGGGCTCAGGTCAACGTAGTGCCGGTTCGGTGTGCCGACCGGGCTCTGCGGGATGTGCTTGATTTGTTGCGAGCGGACGGAGTGCCGTGGATATTTTCGCCGAGGGGCGAGGAGCGAAGAGCGAAACAAAAGCTCGGCTGCTGAGCTGAATCCTGATGCGTGATTGCGACGCCCCGCCCACAGTACAGTATGCAGCGGTGAGTGAGTCTGTGACTCTGTGACTCTGTGGCCGAGTGCGGCGGGAATATTCAGTCGGCGGTGGAAGTCCAAGCCAGCGATCTCAATCTTGAATGAGGCGAGAAACACTGCCAAGAGGTGCATCAAGTGAGCTCGGGGGCAAGCTTCAATTAATAGCTCTCTGTCTAACTACGTCCAAGACTGAGCGGCCCAAAGCCAAGAGAACGAGGTGCAGCGCCGCAAGGAGAATGGTGTGTGGGATGCGCAGTGGGCGTGGGTTTCGTCGGGGGAATTCCTTCCCATGGACTTTGTGTCCTGCCATCGTTCAATCCAGCAATCCAGCGGCTACAAGGATGCTTCTCGAGTGGCTCTCGTTGCCTTCTCCAGCGTACCCCGGGCACAAATGGACTTGCAGTTGCCAGGTGCCGAAGACCCTGAGCCCGTGAGTGGGTGGCGAAGAACATGCTGCTGGAGAAAGTCGACAAGATTAAATACTGGCACTTCATAGGAGGGGGTAGACGACAGGAAACCTCCAGCGGAATACTGTGCTGGTATCGTCTGCATGGCCCAGATCTACGTAGAACACGCCAGCGGTTCCGCGAGGCGGCGACGGGTTGATTCTTGCTCTGTTGAGAAGCAGGTACTGGGCGACGCGCCGACGTCCGCTGATCTCTGCTGAGGTTGAGGCTGCCAAGGCTGCCAAGAGGAGCGTAGAACAAGCCAAGAACACAGGTGGAAGCAATGGAAGGAATATCGGGCAAATCCTCGGAATTGCCTTGCCTGGCTTGGCTTGTGGTGCGACTCGGACGACGTTGCTGGAGACGAAGGAAGGACAGGAGATCTCGGCCATCCCCAGACCAAATGCGCCGCCGTCCAAAGGAGAAAAGGAGGGTACTCTGGATAAATTTCCTCTTTCTGTCGCGATAGCGGGGTCCCTCGATTCTCCAGACTCACACGGTCCATCTCAATAACACGCTTAGGAACGCCACAAGCTACTTTGCCTGCAAGAAGCACGGCTTGAGACTGCTTGAGACTGCTTGAGACTGCTTGAGGCTCCTTGAGACTGCTTGGAATGCGTGTGCGCAAGTGCAGGAAAGCCAAGAAGTCACGTCAACCATTGTTCACGTCAAGTTCCCGCTGGCTAGGGATTACCCGTCATTTGGCAGGTGTACGAAGTACGAAGTACAGTACTGGTAGCCGTCTCCCCTCGAAGATCGACCGCACTACGGCGACCCAGAACGCCTTGCCAGCCATCCGCGCTCCATGCCGTCATTTCTGGTCAGGGGTGGCTTGCACAACAGGAAACCGATCGGATGACCCAGATCTTGGGGATGCGAATGGGAATGGGGGCGGGAATAGATAGGCGTCAGCATCACCGTCTCTGAAGTCTTGGCCCATCAGGATCAGCATCCAGGCCGCTGAGAAGGGCAATCGGCACACCGTGTCTCGCTGCCCGAGCCCGAGAGGTCGTGTCTTGACAAGTATGAAACCCAAATGATCTTCAGGTGCTGAAGGGTTCTCAAATGCATCAGGCTGGGCGAAGACTGGGAAGTTCTCGCGATTGGACCAGCTCCCAAATTAGAAATGGCAGCATCGGCAACTTGACAGGATATCCAATACCTGCCTGCCATGTGGGGTCGAGAAGCTTCGGTGTTCAAAGACAACAGAACATGTCGAAGATACTTCCAATTTCTGGCTGGAAGTACAAACCCAAAGTAGGGTGCCCAGAGACCCTGTCTCTCTTCAGCGGCCTTGGCACTCGCGACCAAAAGATCCTCACACTTTTTGCACGAACAGTGCGGGAGCTCGCCAAACCCCCATCCTTCAAAATCATCGCCTCAAGATCAAGCCTCCCTCCCACGGTTATGGCGTCTTTGACGAGCAACACGTCTCCTCAGCTTTCGCCGAAAGTTCCGCGATCCTGGTATCTCACGACGAGGCACATCAGCCTTGAAGCTGGAGGCTTCCCTCGGAATGCTCAATCAGGAATGCCGCTTGTCCATGCGGAAGTTCATAGGTATCTAACACGTTCACAGCATGTACTGTACAAGTATCTCTTGGGAGTGGCTTGCCGAGCTTGGAGCTGCAGTTGCTGCACGATGCTGCAAATGTCCGAATGCAGGCGGATCGTACATTGTGCAGCGAGCCTATCGTCCACTGGGGAGAAACACTGCGTTTACAGCTGTCGTGGACGAAAGCCATTCTTCAACCTCCATGGCCCATGGTCGTCTACTGAAATCTTCTTCTTTCCCGGCATTACTCGAATCTCCCACCGAAATGGAAGCCGTAACTTGGACGAAGAAGGACTTCCCAGAAAATCCGTCGCACAATGAAGCCATAAGAACGGTAGCTCTCATTAACACTTTCGAAACATGGAGCCCCACGATGCTTGTGCCTCACCCCCACATCTTGGGGGTCACGCGCTGAGGCATTTACGCCGCGTGCAGTGCTGCAACAATCAGCCTTGCCCGCCGTTGTCTTTCTTCCAATGAGTAGCGATTTCACGATCAAGCGGTGAGTTTCAAGCCCCAGGTTCTCCCCACTCCATCTGCTCCCCCCGCGCCTTCCATTAATTATGCTCTGATTTATGAATGGCATGCATGTGTCGTGTGCGACTTCTCCGCATTCGGAAAGTCTGCATGTTCTAGTCTAATCGTATGTCTTCTGTTGGAAGATTGATTTTTCCCCACTGAATTTTCCTTCGATGACATTAACTATCTCGTCACACTTACTTCTCCCTGTTTGTCTGATCAGCAATTGCTTTTTCTGCGGTTCCATGCAAAGTCAATTGTCCCATCCTTATCCGCAATCAGGATTAGCCTCTACTTATTTCCAGAGGATACACAATTACGGTGCTTGAAAACCTTGTTAAGCTGAAAGTACAGCTTTGCAAGTGCCCACGTTTGGTGTTCTCCTTACTCGTCAAGGATATCTTCTTGATCCCCGACCCAGACCAACCATGCCTGGTCCTCCAATATCTTCCTCCCTAAGCTCTTCCTAGTTGGCAAAGTGCCATTCTTACCTAAAATCCCTATATATTTCAACTAGATCGCAATATGTTCTTCACTGCAGAGGTATCAAATAAAGAATCGAATCTTCTTTCCCTAGCTCCCAGTATAGCAAACTTACCGCAATAAGCGTTGCCACAGCTTAGATCTTTCGCTAAGTCCACTACATCATTCATATTCGAGATGCACTTGTTAAATTTCCCCGACAGTCTTTCTTGCGGTTCAATTCTGGCTGGTTTGAAGGTTTTCCCAGCAGTTTTGGAGCTGTGACGAGCAACAAGGTTGTGCAAGCCAAGAGACAGGCGGAAGGGTAGGAGTGAAAAGGATACACAGGACGAACGACTCTGCAGTTAGAGTTGGGCTTTAGCGCCAAATCGATGAGGATCTTGGCGCCTTGGCAGCGAGCCTCCAGTTCTCCTTCCGCACGTTACACAGCCTTCTCAGCGACCACGCGCAACTCGGAGCTCCCGCGTTCGAGGTTTTTGGGATCTGCTGCAACAGGAGAATGGTGTAAACGCGGGGCATATATTGTGATAAATACGAGTCGAGAAGCGTGAGGATATTTATGTGGAGGATGTTTTAGTTGGACATCCAAAGAAAGTGAATACAAGGTTGAAAGTTATGTTGTACATCGCTTAAATGTTGTGGATATTCTGGTACATTGAGATTTCTTAAAAGGTGAAAGTGAATGCCAGATGAATATTTCGCTGCGTATCACACTTTCCATCTGAAGATCCGGAGGACATTGACTTTCTCATCTGATCTGTCATCTCTTTGTTGTGCCAAGGCTCGGGAGTTTGATGGACATCGAACCTTTCATCCAAGGCGTTCGAGTACTAATGAGCTTTCACCCGATGTTCTACGATGCAGTTCTTATGTAAGTTGAAGACGTTGCACATCAACATCGCACCAATGTTCCAAAAGTTCAGATACACCGGGCTTGTATTCAAAAACGGGAGTGTATTGACATGTTACATTCTGTTGCACAACATCGAGCACGTCGACGGAACGCAATTCTCTCTATCCGCGCAAAGTTTGGGAGCAAGTGCTTATTCGTCGGACTTATGCCTCTACAAATCATGCACAGCCGCACCAGAATATTGGACAAGATCTTCATTTTGATCAAAGCTCACATTCAGTTGGAAGCGGAGTTAGAAAGATGATTTCATCATTTGAAATTCGTCTGGACGAAAAGAGATAAGAGCGGACGATATGGAGTGTCTGGTGCATCGGCTCCATTTGAAGATGCTAGAGATCAATTTCTATCGTTGTGTGGAGAGTTGGGGAACTTGGAGAATTGAATTTTGATTTGAAGAAACAAATTAGGGACGTTCAGGAAGTTTTCCTTTGTTTATAGTTTGGTGAAGGTTCACATTTCACATCGCACATGCGAAGAAGGGTAGCCCCAACAACCAGTATCAAATTCCTGCAAATCTCGATCGTAACATCAACGTATGGTGGGCTATCGCAATAAATCTGTTCTCCTATATAAAAGATGCAAAGTTTCCCAATTTGTTCGGGTTGGCTGGCGTCTTTGACCAGCAAAGTAGAACGTCCAATCTCAACCTCAGATGCAACATTCAAACGGCTCGCAAATTCCCATCACCAGCCCTTCGAATTATGTTCCCATTCTGCCCACGCTGCCCACGCTGCCCATTCGTCGTAATACTCTGTAGTGTATTCTTGTTCTCCGAACATCCATCGATCAAGGCTCGCAGGCCAAGTTTGAGGAAGGTTTCTATCGACCCTCGGTCAGCTGGATGATGAACTCAGCAAATCGGTAGAGATACCGTAGCGGTCGTATGATAAGAGAGATTCCGACGTCGTCTAAAATATTGATGATATCCAGGTTGAGAAGAAAGAAGAAAGGTCGACATATGAGGAGGATTCCCAGGTCGTCAACGAAGTTCAGGACCTTCATACGGACAATATCGGCTTCGGTGTACCGAGTACGAGCGGATCGACTCGATCGAATCGAACGAGGCATCGCGAGTATCGTATGCTTTGAGCATAGCGAACACCGAAGCACTCCATCCCCCCCTTTTATTCAAAGACCTCTTTCACATGATTTTCAAACGTGTCGAAATGCTCATCAAATTCATGATTCAGACATCGTTGCAGGATCACTTGATCGTTAAATGGTACCGTACGTGTTTCTGCTCCAACGCCAGCTTTCCACTCTTTTTGACGGAACACGTCGATGCATCCCCAGCTCCCACATCGTGCAGCTCCCGACGGATTGGGCTTAACGCGGAGGGTGGATAGCGGCAGGGATTCGAACCACGTCACATTCAGGGGATGGTTCGCGCCCTGAATATCCACCGGAAAGAAAACCATTCGCCCGGGTTGGGCAAAAAATTGCCCCTATTTGCAGAGCGTTGCAATAGGAGGGAGACGGTGAAGCATCAGCAACACGGCTGGCCTCCCCATTGATCGGTTTTTGGGGCGGTCCGGCCCGGGCGAATCATGTATCCCTGCTCTTCTACAATCAAAGGTTAGACACATCTCCCCAGGACTCACCTCTCGTCCCCTTTGAAAGTGACAGCACATCAAACAACAAACATGATCGTATTCTGAACCACCATCCTGCCCCACGAGTAGCACATACTCTGCGTGCGCACGTAGTTCCGTCACCGAATCGACCTCGAGAACCTCGGCAACCCTGTCGCGTGCTGTCCCGTCCCTTTCGTCATCGAAAGCCTCATTCTCCACTTGCGCCTACGAACATTAATCGAAGATCAAGCACTCATTCCCATCGCAACTTCGACATGTCGAAGCAACCATCCGACTCCTTCCTCCCATCGGGTGCTGTAGACTCTCCGCGCAAGGTACTAGGTGGTCGGGATTCAATGGTCTCGCCTCTGAGCCAGGTTCCCCGGAGCGTCCCGGACTACCACCCTTCTCCGCACAGCGGCAACGGCTCCCCATCTCAAAACACCTTTCTACAATCGCGGTCACCATCGCACCATCCAAACGGGCCGCCGATTTCACCTCCGAAGACGAGGAGTGCGAGTGCGGATGATAATAGTGCAGCCTTGGTCGAGGATTGGCGGGTATATACGCAGAAACTACGGAGTCAGAGCGAAGGCGAGAGAGCACATATGATGGCGGACAGAGCTAGAGTGGAGGAGGTGATGGCAGATGAGAGAGCATTATGGGATCGAGAGCGGGACATACTCAAGGCGCGGATAGCAGAGCTTGAAGCAGAATTGGGGAAGAGGAAAGCAAGCGGTACCCCGGAAGGCATCAGTCCACCGCGACAGCGCCCAAATCTGAGGCACGGCCCGATCACTTTTACAAGTCCAGGTTCGAATGCCGTATCTGTCACCGGTAGCTTCGACGGCTCCGGCCGTGGCATCCCGCAGGAGTCTGGGAGAAACGCGGACGGGTCCCCGTTCTACGCTCCAGCACCAAGGAACCCAAGCCGCAGCTTTAATCCCTCCGAAGTACGAGATTTCCGTGTTGATTCCATGACCGCGCCGCGAGAGAGTGCCATCAGAGTCACAAGGAAAGAACTAACTTCCTCGGACTTTGGTGTCAAGTCTCCCCCATCCGCTCACTCCCTTTCCCCAATCCCCGAGACATCGACTGAGAGCATCGACATCTCACACATCCAGCCGGAACTCGAAGGTGTAGCAATCAAAGCGACAGCCGTATCCCCTACTTTTGCTGCCAAAGTCCTTTCTCCTCAACGCTCACCACCGAAATTATCACCAGATGTCAAGCCCCCAGGTCGAGATGTTACAAACATGCAGCGAAGTGTGAGCAGCGGGAGTTCAAGAGAGGAGAAGGAGAAGAAGACGTTGGAAGTGGTTTTCCAGCCGGAGAACAGGAGATTGACCATGCATGCTGGTCATACACCCAACCACTCGATCACCAAATTTGCATTCTTGGGCGATATGAGCGAGAGTGGAAACGCTACGCCAACGCAGGACCACCCTGGTCAGGAACAGAATCATGATCCTCAACAGCGGAGATCTTCCTTGGCGCCTGGGCACGAAAATCTCGCGCAACCTCCAAGAGAGGGCAGCCATGAGCATGGCCAGGAACATGAACACGACCACGATCAAGGTGACAGAGAACTCTCTGGTCCGTTGGGGCTCACCAACGAAGCTACAAAAGACGACGCTTTCCTCGCCCAACTCACTGAAAAACTTGAAGAAGCACGGAAATCATCCGACCCTTCAACAAGCACCGAATCCTCTAGCAGCCAGGACAGACCTCTAAGTCCAAGGAAAAGGCTGCCAGTGGAAGAAAGCGATGGAGAAGAAGACGACAAAGATGAAGGGCCACCCCTGAGATTGAGGCCGAGCTTTAACTTTGGACGGCCGATGGGGAGCATGTGATTCCTTCCTGCTTCGAATGTGGATTGCGCGTCATTCGTTTCCTTTATTCATATGGAGTATCGCTAGACGGTGTGGGGTTGGGTGGGTGGCGTGGGTTATCGATACCTCTTCTCTACACTCCCCCCCTTTTTTTTTGTCGTTTGCTTTGACGGAAATCCGAAAATGGCTGTACAGCGGAAGATCTCTTTCGTTTCTCGCATTCTCTTCACTGCCTTAGGGAAGGCTGAGCGGTTGGATCGGACTGGCTTCGGTGTTGAATTTCAAAAGTTCTGTTCTCATCTGTTCGATGAAAATCATGGGATTGGGTGGCGGTATATCATAGGCTGTGGCTACCGGAAAATCTGACCTTGGCTTGGCTTGGCTTCATTCAAAATGGGAAAATTGGCATTAAACGGATGGAACATGGATTGGGTGGGAGGCAAAGTGAGCATTGATTGCATGGGATTGGGTATGAATAGATTACAGGACCTCTCTCTACCTTCTAAGGAGAGGAGGGTCCGCTCCACTTATAATTATTTCTTTTGTTTGTTTTCAGCGTTGGGTGGAATGGTGTTGAACGAGCGGGTGTTAAAATGGTGTTATGAGAGATGATGATGGAGAGCGGAGTATATATTTGATAGGAGCAGAGCGAGTGAGAGCGAGATAGCGAAAGAAGGACTCTGGAGGAGTACCAATAGCGAACGAAGATGATACCCCTTTTGCTCATACTTCATTTCGTGTATTTCGAGTGACGAAGTGGAGAGTGGTTCGAAGGGAATGTTACATCTTGCTTCACCTGAGATGTTCCTGACGATTTGGTACATTGAGATTTTGAGCCGGCGGGAGTGAATCCTGGAAACGGGGGTCATTGTTGCATTTCGCTCCATTTTCATTGTTCCAGGAGATTTTGGTACATTCAAGGTTGAGAGTGAACCGTGGAGCTCAGGTCGATGTTTTGTTGCACATTTCTTCGATCCTCCAGAAATCTCTGGTACAATGGGAGTATTGGGAGAGATAAATGGTGGTGAAGCGGGGTTTTATCGGACCGTCGGATGACAATCGCTTTCTCTATGGGATAAGAAAACTTCAGTTGCACGTCGCTTCGATGTTCCAAGAAATTTCGGGGACAGTAGGCTTTTAAAAGGGGAGGGAGTGAATTCTGTTCTCATCAAATCATAGGATGAAAACGAATTCATAAGCAATAGAAGATGACTTGTTACACGTCGCGAAAATGTTTAACCGGACTTTCAGGTAGTGGATGCAGCGATGTAGTTACATACAAAAATATAACGTTGTGCTTCTTTATTATATTGCGAGCTCAGTTTAAGTATCCTTGTAAATAGAAGTCTGGAGCCCGAGATACTGGAAGGCTCTTCTCCTGGACTTTGTGGCATCGACCAACTTCAGATTACGCATGCAAATAGAACTCCCCAAGATATTATTCGTACTGGATTAAACAATTAGGAGGTAATAGTTGGGTTTTAGAGCAGTTATCAATGAACAAGAATGGTTGAAGTGTAGCACGTGACCAGCGTAACTTCCGCTTCTGGTTTGCTTCGTCCGACTTCCACCTTCAGCACCACTTCCCACAAACCAGTGCATCTGCTAACAACTTCTGTGATGTTTAAGACTTCCACACTTTCGGTATCTCTTATGTCCTGGTGCAATCGGCCCGAGATGGGCTCAGATTGACATCGCGGACGTCCTGTGAAGACGGACGATTCTGGGGTTCCAGCAAGCTTGAAGGGACGATACATGTAAAGCCTTGGGAAAGGGACAGAGATCCTATCGACGACACGATGAACTCACGGCCAGATCATGCCATGGAACGCCGAGCTTTCCAAGTATCGTAAGCTCCACTTGCTTCACCGGTCATCTGGACGGCTTGCTGACCTAGCCCAGCTGTGAGAGATGCAGAAAAAGGAAGGTTGGTTATCACCGCTTCTGCTCTTAGATGGTTCAACATTACTAAGGACCACCCCACCCAGATCAAATGCGATCGTCTTCAGCCCTGTACCAAATGTGAGAAAGCAGGAGTTGAATGCACCTTTATGGGCTCGGGTGAGAAGCAAAGGTACTCTCATCTGCAAATTAAGCTCTACCCTGTCAAAGAGCTCTACAGCTAATCTATCTCTAAGACCCGTCTCTCGAGGCTATGTCCAAGCTCTAGAAGGGCAAATAGCGTCACTCGAAAAGTTCATCACCAAGCTCATCGCCGTCGATGGCCCCCAACGCGATGAAATGCTGGCCAATTTTGGCAAATCGTCTGGTCATTTCCATCCCCCGTCACAAGACTTCAACACATCCAGCACATCTCCTGGCGCTGCCTCGAAAGCGATTTCAATAAGATCAACGACGGGACATCTCAGGAGAGTGAGAGATGGCAAGGCAGCGGAATTCTATGGTCCTACCAGCTTCTTTCAGATCAGTCCCTCAGACACTCTAGATCATGCGACTTCAGCTACGGAAAACCTCTCACTCGATCCTTCTTCAAGTCTCGGAGAGCAAAAAATTGTGATTACGAATTCTCTTGAAGAATCCAGCATCTATTCCGATTCTCAGCTAGCTTTCTCTCCACAAAGCCACATCTGCCGAACACTGATGGCATCATTCTTCAAGAATCAATATCAGTATCATATGTGTCTATATCGAGAGTATTTTCTGAGAGACTTCAATACCGGGAAAGGGCCATATTACTCGGATCTACTCATGTACGCCATCTGCGCCATGGGAGCTCTGGCTAGCGAAGAGATTGCTCTGCGCGAGCTATCAGATGTGTTTTTCAACCGCGCTCAGCAACTGCTCTACGGATCCGCGTTAGAGTCGCCCAATCTAACGACTTTGCAAGCGCTTATTCTCTTGGGACATCGCGAGATAGGGCATGGGAAGATGTCAAAAGGGTGGCTCTTCTCTGGCATGGCGTTCAGACTTGCTCACGAGATGGGCTTACATCTTGACCCAAGTAACTGGAAAGGTTCCGACGACTCTCGTGTGGAAAGAGAGATTCTACGACGGACTTACTGGGCGGCTTTTGTGGCCGACAAGCATTTGTCTCTGTACTTCGGACGACCACCCGCGCTGTATCCTAGGCAATCGGACGTCAACGACACAATCCGGATTCCGTATCCCCCGGAATGGGAGTCTCTTCTCAACACGTATATCATGAAAGGTACTTCCGAGACTGCTTATGAAGATGGACTGTCACTCGTTGCGTCATTTGTTCAGCAAGCTGAGTTGTGCAAGATCCTGCATCGTATGATTATTGAAGTTTTTGAGAATCGAAGCGCGAACACGGATGAGACTGTGTTGGCGACTTCGGTCAAGGATATCGATGTTGCGTTGAAGAAGTGGTCTGCGAATCTTCCGGCAAAGCTTCATTGGAATCAGTGGTGAGTAGTTTTCTGGGAATGCTTTTCTTAGAATAATTTCAGGGCCTCATTTTTCGCAACGGAGAGTTCAGCTTCAGCTGACAGTGTCCAGGTCGGTGGGTCCGATTCCAGCCCTTGTGCTTCATTTGCAGTAAGTCTTTCCGTGCATTGAGAATTCGACTTGATGTATATCGCTGAATCTGAGCAGCATGATGTATCATACAGCATTAATCATTCTGCATCGACCTCCACGGAACCTCCTCCGCGACCCTGCTGTTGCCACCAGCGAAGATGTCAAAACGTGCTACGAATCTCAGGACGCCATCGTCAAATTAATTGGAATTTATTCCAGACAACATCAGTATAGCCACTTACCCTTGACTTTTGTGCACATTCTTGCGTCTGCGGCGAGCATTGTGCTCATGAGACGACACATTGACGGGGCTTCATGGGCTCAGCCCGAAGTATCCAAGTCGCTCGGAGTGATCTTAGACGCTCTCGATGGTATATCTCATACTTGGCCATGTGCAAAGCAAGTTCGGGCAGTAATAAATTCTGCAATGAAGGAGGGCACGCCAGAAGCTGGAGCTGGAGGTTTTGCTCTTAGTAAGTCTCCTGAAGGTTTCGATCTCATGACAGGCTTGGCAGGACTGCCAGAGGTCGGGAATGACGACTTCTTGAATGGAGAGTTTGGTTTCAATATGGACGATGCTGATATCGGGTTTTATCTGAATGAGGATTACTTGAATGACCCTTTTCAGGGTGAAGAATGGTCGTTCACGTGACGAGACAGAGAGGGCATCCGGCAGATCAGAAATTATCGCTCCATTAGCAACAAAAGATGGGGGCTTGCACTGCCCAAAAAATTAAATGTTCTCAGCTTCGGCCATTCTCTCAGGATCTGAAGAAAGAAAACAGATATCACAAGTCGATGTGGTGGCTTGAGCCGCCAAGCCACACGAAATGATCTGCAACGGACTTCCACCTGCGTCAGATGCGCTTCCCCACTTTCAGGAGCAACCAAAACCATACGATAAAAGGCTGGCTATTAAGCCTGTTATCGTCTGAAGATCTATCCATGCCCTGTTGAACAGGGTGCGTCACTCGACCTGTCGGGGTAAATTTCGGACGATCTTCCAAAATGGCAGGTCGAGTGAAGGATTCTTGTACGACTCTTATCAACTCTCCTCAAGGCTCTACGCGGAGGAGGAAGACCGCCAATACTGTGCGCAAGGCTGCAGCAATATTCTCGGTAGACATGGCCATTAAAGGGGAGCTGGTTGCCTTCTGCTTTATTCGATAAGACAGCAATCATCCGCTCAGAAATTCGAGGTTCGTCAGGAGAATACCAACAAGAAGTTATCGAAAACCCACAAATCGAGATGGCAGCCACCAAAACCGACAGTCTTGACAATGCCGAGAAATCTACATCTGGACTTGAAAATAACTTATCAAGCGAGACAGATGAGGAGTTCTACGTCGACCCTGTCAAAGAGGTCAAGTTATTGGCGAAACTCGACCTGGCCTTCACCCCAGTTATCATGCTGGTCTACCTCTCCTGCTTCCTCGATCGCTCTAACATCGGTTTGTGTGCTCCACCACTCCACTTAACTCCTTTTTTGACCTCAATCTAGGCAATGTGAAAGTCGCTGGTATCCTAACCGATATCCACGCAACAAACTCGCAGTTCTCGACCGCTGTATCGATCTTCTATGCCACTTACGTTGTCTTCGAATCGCCTGCAGCGATCCTAATGAAGAAAGTCACGCCACGAGTAATTTTGACGACGCTTTGTGCTGTCTGGTCACTCACCACGATTTTCACTGGATTTATCACTAATGTCGGCGGTCTTTACACCACCAGATTGATCCTGGGAGCTTGTGAGGCTGGATTGTTTCCGTGCTTGAATCTGTATTTGACGATGGTGTATCGCCGAGAGGAACAGGCGAAGAGAGTGGCTTATTTGTTCAGCTGTGCTGCTCTTTCAGGGGCCTTTGGTGGACTTCTGGCTTATGCTCTCCTGCAAATGGACGGTGTCTCGGGGAAGGCTGGGTGGAGGTGAGTCTTAGACCTTGTCTTTGTGTGCTTTGACTAATATGAATAGATGGGTCTACATCATTGAAGGATGCTTCAGTATCCTGGTAGCTGTAATCGTGTTTTTTGGTCTCCCAAATGACCCCACGAATGCATGGTTTCTCAACACCGAGGAACGAGAGATGATGAGGTGTCGCAATGGCCAGAGACAGAAATACCTTGGTAAACAACCCCGCTTCTGAATTTTGAAACTATGCTTACAGGTGAAATCCAGGTTCCGAGAAGTTCTCTTGGGAAGAAATAAGGATCGAGCTTCGAGATCCAAAACTCTACCTCAGCGGCCTCATCCAGTTCATGCAAGATATCCTCCTTTACGGCTTCAGCACCTTCCTGCCTTCGATCTTGAAGGCAATGAATTATAATACCTTGCAAAGCAACTAGTAACCAACCTATTTCTTTGCTCCATACCCTGAACTCCCTATTTTACTGGTCGGGAACATGAGACATGCTCCCGGCTCTCTCCCGGCTCTCTTCCCCCCAAAGAAACATCTTGCTAATTTTTTGAAGCCTAACAATACCCGTGTATCTCTGGGGAGCAATAATCTTCCTAATCTTAGCCTGGATCTCAGACCGATACGAGATCCGCGGACCAGTAAGTCCAACCTGCATTTTCCTCCACATCCCTATCCCAAAACTTAGGAAAATCACAGATCGTAATGTTCGCCAATATATTCGGCATAATCGGCTACGTCCTACTCCTGACCGTCAAGCAGAACGGTTCGCCCACCCCCACACTTCCTTCCCCATCTCTCTCCCTCTAATCTTCTCTCAGGAGTCAAATATTTCGCAACCTACCTTTGTGCCGTAGCCGTCTATGTTGGGCCCGGCATAAACCTCACCTGGCTCAATGTGAACGTCGCGCCGCATTACCGTCGCGCGACTGCCATCGGGCTCCAGCAGACGATGGGCAACACTGCCGGCGCTGTAGCGGGCCAGATTTATAGAGCGGCGCCGTATAAGTTGGGAAATAGCTTTAGTCTTGGGGCGCTGTGTCTGAGCCAGTGCTTGATAGTAGGCAAGATTTGGTATGTGAGGAGGGAGAATGCGGTGAAGGAGAGGATTATGAGGGGGGAGGTGGAGGACAAGAGGAGGGTGAGGACGGGTGATGGAGAGGTGGATTTTAGATATCATATTTAAGGGGGAAGTGTTTGTTGAGTGGCAGGTAAGAAGGGATTTTTACTTGCGGGTTGTTATTTGCTTCCGTGGTGAGGTGTCTGGTAGTTCACATGGGTGAAGTGCTATATAGGATGATAGTGCAGGCGAGTTCAGGGGAAAAGAGTCAACTGCATGGGACTGAAGTATAGATATGTCTAGGTCACGAAGCCAGGAAATTATGCTCAATTGTTGGAGGCCGAAGCCCAATACGTGTATGTACTAGACCGTATTATTACAAAGCCCCTCCCTTCTAACACCATACACCTGGATCTTATATCTCACTTGCCCTAATGCCTGCCATTGCTGCTGTGAAAGTTTGAACACGAAGAGGAAATGGTTGAAGTAAGAACTGCGATGAGGATTAAAGCTATGTTTGGCGTTTTATACTTGAGAAGGTGACGTACAACGAATATGAAGCGAAGGGCGGACGCAAATTAGTATGTGCAAGGCGGCTCAAGTTCGAAGAGAAGGATAGCCGTGGAACACGGCACGACGCCAAAATGTCATCCGGGTTCCGATTCGGGATTTGTGAAACTCTTCGTTTTTTCGCAAAGCTGACTCTCACTCTTTTCTGAACCTGCTGCAAACTTTTCGGGGACATTGCTGAATCAAGGAATAGGTAATGGCGTCTTCGAGTAGCGCCCAGACCTCAGAAAATCTCAGTATGGAGTCGGGACTAGAGGGCTGCTGGCTCACAGGTAATCCCGCTCAAACTCAGCGTCAAGATGAACCGGCACTCTTTCCTCCTCTACATTTCGATCTCTGTCCTTGCTCTGGTTCGCAACCAGTTGTAGCAGAAGCTTGTTGTTCTGCGAAACGATCAACTCAATCTTCTCAACTTTCGTCTCTAATGTCCGTAGTCGTGCATCGTTGCCCATAATCTCACGCCAGTCTTCTTTCGTCAGTTGTCCTTCAACTACAACTCGCCTTGGAGGCTCTGGTGGGTGTTCTAGTGCGTATTGTTGTGCGGCCCATTGTTGTTGCTCAATCTGCTGTTGTAACTCCCGCGTGAGCGCTCTCTCATTATGACGTCTCCTCTTGTTTGGTCGATAACCATTCATATCCTGTTCTTCTTGGGCAACAACCATTTCGCCCCCTGGGGATTGCTGATATGGGTGCTGCAGTTGCTGGGGTGCTGTTGGTGCCTGTCCTTGCTGAACTTCCTGCGGTGGCGGGGGTTGCGGACCAGGGTATAGTCTTTGCTGTGGAGGAGGATTTTGAGCGGCCATCTGAGTTTCTGCAGCAATTGCTTGTCTCCTAGCTTCTTTCCTAGCCTCCTCGACCTTTCTCCTGGCCTCAACTTGTCGCATCCTCTCAGCCTCTGCTTCTCCATCCTCGGTCCGCAAGAACTCGATCCATTCATCGATCCTCTCATTCAGCTCGCCACCTGGCTTTTGAGGAATGACTCCATTCTCCCAATCTGCTATTTGTCTTCGCCTTGTCTCTACTAACCGTCCAACCGTGGCGCTCATCTGCGCTAAGATCTTGCCCGTGTCTGCCTGGAAAGCAGCATTCACGCCTGACCAGAACTGCGCTTTGGTGCCCTCTTTGAAATTGTCCCGTTGCTCGTAGCAGTGCTTGACCATGAGGATATGATCGCGTTCATCGAGGTTCTGGCGCGGTTTGCGCGCGCTGTTGCCCGCAGACGAAAGCACTGAGCTTTCACGCATCTCGCGCGCCGGTGTCATGAGAGACCGGGGAACAGGTGGAGGATTCATACGCGCTTCGGTGGTCGGTGTGGAGTTGGCGGTATCGTGCTGTTGACTGCTTGGTGTCTGCTGAGCCAGAGTTCGTGCGCTGTTCGAGGGAGTTGAAGGGGGAAGGATGGGTGCCGGCTGTCGAGTAATCGTGGGTGCCATTGGAACCAATTTGAAGGTATGGAACGCTGATGGCATAGGTAAGATTACATACGCGGCAGCGGCTGGAGGGAGATGTGCTTTCGAGGGAATTTTTATCCTGTAAACCTGAGTCTGACCGAATCTCGAGTCGTTAGACTTGCGGGTTTGGTAAATTGGGGAGCTAAAGCACGAGCTAGGCCAATTATGTGCGCTTGCCTGCTCGACCCTAGCCAGCAGGGCAGAGTAAGGGGCTTTTAGGGGCTCCAGCTGTAATCTGGCAATGCGACCACAGATGAAGTGCTTCCATGCAGCTTCCGCACTTGCTTTACTGTAGATTTCCGAGAAATTTATTAATACTGTACGCCCAAGTTCAGACGACGCTGATAAATATGTTCGGTATCCGTTCGATTTGGGTGTGCTTGCGTGCATGTGCTTCTTCGCTGCCGCAACCTCTGCATCCATGAACCAGTGTCCTGGATGATGGGCAAATTCCGGTTTGCGTTATCCCGCAACGTTCCGCATGCCCAACCCCATCCCCTTCCCTAGGCTAAGATGTGTTGAATCCGGTTTCGTCGTGTGTGTGGTTACGTGGACACTTTGTTGGAGACGCAGGGACAGGCAGCGTGACGTTCAAACGCAAAAAGCGACATCGAGAGAAACATGTTTGTCGGCGCTTCCTTCCAAGGTGAAGATACCCGCCACTTCTATTCTTCTGGAAGGGGCAAGGGAGGAGCAGTCCCCTCCGTGCTTTAGCCAAACAAACGTCACAGAAAGCTAAAGATCATCCCCACTGATCGGAGGTGCAAGTCCGTGTAACTAAGACTGCCCCCGAGGCTGAGTTATCAGAGTGGCTCAAGTCGAACTCTGCACGAAGTTTCTTTTACTCTCTATTTCAACCTCTTTATCTCGTTTCCCAACAAAACGAATGTTTTAGTAAACAATATAGCTGTCCAGATGATTTCAGAAGTCTGCACCGTTACCTCTGCCCAGGCCGAGGCATCACATCGACTTCTCAGCCTCAAGACCGGAGCCGCCGTTCGTAAGGCTGCCCGCAATGGCACCCATACCACAACTACTTCAGGCCTCGCTCCAACCTATCTCCAAGCCAATCTCATCATCCTCCCGTCGCGCTATGCAGCCGACTTCCGTATCCTCTGCGCCCGAAATCCAGTTCCTTGCCCTCTGATAGCAGAATCAGCAGCGGTTGGAAAGTTCGATGAAGTCAGGTCGTGGATTGATGGACTTTCAGGGGAGGGGCTTATCTCAGGGGTCGACATTCGACAAGACGCTCCAAAATACATGGTTTATAAAGACAGTAAGCTGGCAGAGTCTGAGTGTGCGGATATTGTTGCAGAGTGGACGGAAGATCATGTTGCGTTCCTCATTGGCTGCTCATTCAGCTTCGAGTCGGCTCTTGCTAAAGCGGGGCTGGAACCACGACACTCGCGACTGGATCGGACAGTTCCAATGTACAGAACCAATATTCCTCTCTGTCCAGCAGGCGTGTTCACTTCGAGCAGTTATGTCGTTTCGATGAGACCGTATAAGAGCACCGAAATCGAAGCCGTTCGGGATATAACCAGACCATATATAGCTACCCACGGGGAGCCGATTGCTTGGGGATGGGATGCTGCAGAGAGGCTGGGGATCAAAGACATCGATATTCCAGATTGGGGCTCTCCACCTTTGACTCTGAGCGGACAGCCACTTGGCGCGCACGCAGGAAGTGATTCTGAAGTACCTGTCTTCTGGGGCTGCGGCGTAACACCACAGGAAGCTGTCATGAAAGCTGATTTGCAGGGCACAATCATGTCACATGCGCCGGGATATATGCTTGTCTTGGACTGCCGTGACTGGGACATTATAAAGGAGAAACGAAGATGAAGAGATTGTCGGTGAGCGCAGCGAGTTCTTCGTCGTCGGGTATATATCTAATCAAAGATGGCTTTGGCTTTTCGCTTGGTCTCGATTCTCTTGAGCTTTCCTCAAGAGCGCATATAACGTTTGTAGCCTCGGCATTTCCAGTCCCTTTTCTCTCGCAATGCGAATTGGGTTGCCCAGTATAACCTCAAGCTCCATCCGCTTTCCATTTTCCCAGTCAAGTAGCATACTGGGCTTACTACCACTCGTATTCTTCTGCGTGCTGGCTAGGATCGCTTCACTGGTTGCGAACTCCTTCGGCAAGGGCGTGCCCAGAACCTTTGGTGCCGTACTCAAAACTTCATCCATTACCGCCTTCAAATGTATATATAACTCCGGATCCAGAACCATGGCATTATTTGTAGTCCCATTAGACAAGACAGCAGATGGATTCATCGAGGCGTTGATAGCAATCTTATGCCACCGCACCATCTGTAGCTTCGAATGCGAGTACTCCTCTGCATCCTCGATCTCTCCTGCCTGTAGAAGTTGCACGAACCTCTTGTTGCTCTCAATGGCTGCCCAGCTCGTGGATCCGGGGAGGTATGGTCCAACACTAATGCGTGTCCAACGATTGTGCTTAATAATACCAGGCTCCGTCTGCGCCGCGGAGACGATTGTGACAGCACTCAGTATTATAGCTGAGGGGAAGCGCTTCAAGTACGGCTCTTCAACACCAAGGCCATTCTGTACCAGGACGATCGAGGTCCCGTCCCCAACCAAGCCCTCCAAGATCTCCGAATCATCACTCACATCCGGCAGCGCCTTCGTGCTCACAACAATATAGTCCCATTTTATCTTCGAGTCGATAGCTTGCCGCGGGTTTGCGAACGTATGGTGAGGTGTGAAGGTGTAGGATCCGTATTTTGGGGAGGAGATGGAGAATCCGTTTGCGTGGACGACGGTGTAGTTTGATCGGCAGATTACAGAGACTTGGGTTGAGGGGACGAGGGCCAGGCGCGAGGCGTAGAAGGCTCCTACTGCGCCGGCGCCGACGATGAGAATTTTTATTGGCATGGTGAGGTCGGATGGTGTGAGGAAGGATGTTGCGAGATGTCGCGTTTTGGAGATGAGGTGAGCCGAGGTTGCTTGATGTGGGGCTTGGACATCGCCTCAACTCTTCACATCAACTCTCCTTGGAAAGAAAATTATCACAACGTATAATTGCTGTATATGTTCTATATTGCACAGAAGTGTCTGTATCTTGTTGCATAAACTCTTTTGTGTGTTCTTAGAAGTCACCTCGAGATCATATCTTTTCTGTCAGGTCCCGTTCCAATCCACGCAATCTTAACACCCACTGCACTTTCAAAGAATTCCACATAGTTCTTGCGCTCAAGCAGCAATTCGTGGTAGTTATTGACTCCTTTGATTGATTTCTGCCAATCTGGCAGTGTCATGTATCTGACGGTGACTTTTGAGAGCTTCCCAGACTGGCAGGAAAAGATTCCAGTTCACGGCCGTCTATCTCGTAGCTAGTAGCAGCTTTGATTGTTTCAAATGTGTCGAGGACATCGAGCTTGGTGAGGTGGAAGGCAATGGGTTGAGCATTCTCAGTTTCAGTGATGGAGTAGCTTTCAAGTCGATGCCTCCTGCACAAGACCACAAGCGGATTTCCGATGGCGGTTTGGGACCGAATACTGGTGAGATAGGCTGCTACGCTCCGACGAAGATTGCAACTTCTGGAGTGATTCGGGAGATCGAGGAGACGATTCTCAGGCCGACCTTTGAGGGGATGCGGAAAGAAGGTGAAGCTAGCTGTGGTACTTGAACTCTTTGGTAATTGCTGAAATGTGAATAAGCATCCCGTTTGTTGGCAAGATCTTCACGGGCATCATGCTCACAGAAACTAGTTCGAAGGCGTTGGGGTATAATGCCCGTTTCGGTGATCCAGGAGCCCAAACCTTACTTCCTCTCTTGAAGAGTGATCTTGCCGAGATCGTGGTAGCTTGTGTAGAAAGGCGCCTGCACGAAACAAAAGTCGAGATGCACGACAAGTTCTTTGCTGTTGTGATTACTTCAGCATGAGGGTACCCTCGAGCTTCCCCAAAGGGCGATGTAATCGAACTAGGCTCCCCTACACCAAGTACAAGCATGCCCTCAAACTATTTATTGGCATCCATGCTTACAATCTACGCAGAAGCACCATCTACCCCCAACTTCTTCCATGCTGGAACGGAACTGCTGCAGGACGGCTCGATCGTTACTGCTGGAGGAAGGGCGATGGCCGTCTCAGCGATGAGGCTACTGAGGCCCACAGCTAGCTAGCGGACAAATCCGAGAAGCGAAAAGTGATTTTCTGATTTTCTGATTTTCGCACTGGCGCCCCGCACACCCCCCCCCCCCCCCCCCCCCCCCCCCCCCCTCCTCCCCAAGGCAGAATTCCTAATTAGGGGTATAGCACCCACACGTGACTTTCGGCTTGGATAACGCAATAATAGTAAGGCTGCTTGCTTGTCTAATTAACGAAGTAAGAGCCCATACTACCGCGTGAAATCGTGCCAAAATTAGGCCGGGTAGTATAATATAAAATTGAGTATTTATTACAAATTACTATAGTCAGGTAACCACAGGCTATAAGCCCTTCTAGGATAACGCTATTAACAGGGTCTAATGACTTCCTTAATATTCCCGAGGTTAGAAATAAGAAAATTAAACTATTAAAATAACTGAGAAGCCGGCTAATTACTTTTTTTTGGTAATTAATTAACAAAATCACGTGGGGGTAACGTTACTCGAGTTTTTTAGCGCTCACGTTACTAGAAAGTACGTCGCGATAGTAAAGCGTGCCCTGAACTTAACCCCTATTAAAATAACTTGGTGGATTTTATTAAAATAATGCCACGACTTTTAATAAATCTATTACCATATCGCGAAGCTATTACTAAATAGGCTTATACGAATATTAATTAAGAAGAAATTGCGAATAGATTAAAAGATTTATATGGAATCTTAGTCAATCCGCGTATGGTCCGACGGCGACTATAAGAATAGAATATCCAAACACGTACTTAAATAGTAAATACGCCTTTCCTTCGCGCGCAAATTATAATCCTGTATTATCTGGGAAATATAGATAAGGAAATACTTGAGAATCTTGAGGATTACGGTTATATAGCTTTAATTACTAGAGTTATCCGCATACGCAAGAAGCTTGGTCTTATTTGCCATATGACTATAATAGACAGGCAAGTGGCGGACGAGTAACTATTTATAATACTATAGAGTAAGCTAAATAATAGGCGGGTTACAGGTTATGAACGGCGGCATTTGCACGCGTACTTCCGTTAATAAGGTTTACTAGTAACCCGGTTAGTCTTTCTATACTTTACTATTTTGCCCTAGCTTGGAAGGTTAGGGCCTTATTTACTAACGTATTTTATTATCTATAGGGAGAGCTTATATGTGATATTATAATTCCTAGATCCCGAGGCAATTATACTATAAATATAACGGATATAGTCCAAGAAAGGAGAATATATTATGCCTGGGCCGGACTAGATTTAGTTAATTAATAGACACGATAAGCTATTACTATTTGGGATTAAGATATACGCTTATATTAATACTTATTTACGTAATATTATCTGGGTATATATTAGAATCTCTAATTAGACTACCTATTCGGTTATATAGTAGTATCTTCAGATTTGTGCTTAAATGAGCTACTGCCCTTATTTCTTTAGGGCTAATCGAGGCTCTAAACTCCCCCTTATTACTAAAGCATACTTTGCATTCTCGCGAATAGCTGATTTATTAATTGTGCGCGTGAAGAACTGCTTTATTTCTGGGAAAAGCACCGAGAATTAGCGGGTTAAATCCTGGTAGCAGGAGCTTTAGAAGAGCTAGCTATACTAGTAGCGCGTGAGCAATTCCGTTTCCTTATATCTGCCCCTTATTCTTTCTATTATTAGGAGGGAGTATTAGGTACTAATAATTACACCGCTTTTTATTAAGGCTATTAGGTCTAGTATTATAGTGCCGGATTATATAACTAATTCTGATTAGTATATATAGAATTACTTTTAGGAACTAGCCCATACCGAGGATTATAATTACTAATACCTATGGGACCGGATTACTTTACTAGTACTTTATATATAGCGGATCCAAAACGAGATATATAGGTTCGCGGACTTGTGAAATATTTATAGGATTAGAAAAGATAGATCTAGGCCTAATATGGTAGCCGGCAAGCTATTTAGACTATATACGAGGCCCCCAGGCAAGGCATAGTACTGGGATTGCCCTATAGATATAGAGCTTTATAATATAATCCTTAATAATTACTTAGTTTAGGGTAAGTAATATGACCTCGCATAGCTTTACACGGATAGTTTACTCACATACTAATATAGATATTAATAAGTTTCTGCCGAGAGAAATACTAGAGTAGTACTATTAGAAGCTCATGTCTTATAATATAAATATAGCTAATATTTATATGGGAGATACTAATAGAAACGGTAACTAATTACATGTTTAAGCTTACTACTAGCTCTAATATATAGTCCGGGCACATATAGCCTTAGGGCAGCTACTAATATTAGGAGAGTCCGAGAAGCTAACTAGTAGATATAATATCGCTATTACGCGGAATGGGATCCTCAAGCAAGTTGTCCTAATAAATACAGAGTATATAAATAATATATAGGCCAGAAGGATACCCGTATAGTTCCTAATAGTCCAGGACTTTACCCAGAAATAGCCCTTTATTAGTAATACTCCTAATAATATGGGGTAATTAAACGAGCCGGTTATAAAGTAACTAGGTATATTAAGATAGGTATTATTTATTATTAAATATATTATTTTTGAAACCCCCTTCTTACTTTTAAGAGTAGTATTAATAGAATTATTAAGTTTATCTATTATATGAATATTCTATATCCTTAAATTCTTATCTTTCAAAATAGCACTACTATTTCTTAAAACCTGCCCTAATACTATATGCCCCGTAGCCGAATACTGGCATGGTAATATCTAATATTACGAGTTCTATTAATCTACTAATAATAAATATAATATAGAGGCCGCCGCTTTACTTGTCTAGAGTAATAATACTAGTAGACTTGAACCTCATGGCTCTGGAATTCCGTCCGCATCTGCCTCCCTCTTTATACCTGGAATACTTTAGATCCCTAGCTCTTCTTAGTATTCTTATCCCGTATCTTTTCTTCTAGGAATATCTATTATACTTATTTCTCTAGTTACTATTACTATATAGCTACTAGGTACTAGTTCTGCTCCATCCCAGGCTCCTCCTGCTCTAATGGCCCCATAACTACTCCCTTCCGTATTCCCTTTTACTACGAGCCATATTACTTGACCTAACTACTTTTCTAGTAATACTTATACTACTACACAAGCTTAACGGGCTATAAATACGAGAGTTACTTAGGCCACTGCCTAGGCCATAGCTTCTCATACTAGTAATAGGCTACCTGGAGCCCTTTAAGGTCTCATGAATCAAAATGTGGCCGGATCTAGTCTTATGGAATTACAGACCGTGGTTTTATAGCTAGTTCTCCGTAAGTAGGCATTTAATAATATAAAGAATTAGAGAGCTAAGTAAAGAACTATCTAATTTTCTAAAGAAGTCAGTAATAAGTTTTCTCCTATTTCTTTTACTAGATTCTCTATACGAATTCTAATAGATATTTTTTAATAGGTAGCTTTTAATTTAAAATAAATAATTAAGTCTTTTCTACTCTTTCTAATATAGTTTCTTAGTAGCTATTCCCTTACTTCTCTCTCTATATTAGCGGACTTACCCGCTATTATTAATTTATTAATAATGCGAATAAACTAGTATTTTATACTAGTTCTAATAGTAAAAGAGCCCAGGAACTTATAATCTTGCCAGGTTCTATTTAAACTATCTTTAATCTTTCCCGCTATGGCATATATCTAGGCCCTAAGAGTATCTGGATAATTTTCCTTGTTTTATACCAGGATAAGACTCTATATAAAGATATTTGTCTTGAAATTACTTGTAAAAAGCTAGAAAATACTCAGAAGGAGACTTTATATAAAGATCTCTATCTTAAAGTTACTCGTAAAGAACTAGAAAATGCTCAGAAAGCATAGTAACTTGAGGAAATTAAATAATAGACTAAGGAGGCCCAGAGAGCCCAGGAAAGTATTACCCGCTAGTATAGGCATGAGACTTTAAGAGTAAGGAGGGATCTAATAAACTAGTAGGCAAATAAAGGCATATATATAATCCTCTCCTTTAATTCTGGCTCTTATTCTTTATTTCTTCTATAGACCCTTTTTTATTTTTAGGTTTAATTAACTTATACGTGCCAGGATTCTTCTTTACTTACCGACCTCTGGGAGCCGCAAGATAATATAGAAAGTATTACTAAAAGTATTACCAAAGCTAATCCTAATAATAATAATAATAATAATAGTAATAGGCTATTAGATCCTCCTTTAATTTTACTATTCTCTTTTCTAGTAAAGGAAACTATAGTTAATCTCATGAACCATATAAGTATTACTCCATAGTAATAGGCACGTTAGAGATATGAATATACTACCCCTCTTCCTTATTAGATATAGAGAATTAACGGGTATAATGTCTTTAGCTTTACGGGTAAAACCCAAGGTATCCGGGCTACTACTAGCACTTTGCCTATTACCCCGGACAGAAGTCTAACTATTATTATTAAACTCCCTAGGCTAATTAACCTTACTTCTCCTAAGCAAACCCATTATATAAGGTCTAATAAATTACGCATAAATATCCGCCGAGGTTAAGGTAGTTAAGAAAAAATAGGCCTAATATCTAATATGCTTTTTCCTATATCTTATAATTAGCTTAGTACTATTTTAGGTCTTATTTCCTTATAAATATATATATACTTGGAATTTATAATTAATACTTTAAAGTAATGCTCTTTAATTAGTTCTTATGTAATTTAAAAGTTAGGCTACTAAATTTAATACTTTTATAATACTTAAATTCACCCAAGTTTATAAAGTCTTGTAATTATTAGGGCCTTTATAATTCTTTGCCTTTTAAGTTTAATACCTAAATAGTATTATATACTTTGTTTTTAGTATAGAGAAGGCTCCTAAAAGTCTAGGGTTATAAAGGGATTTTTATATTAAGGATATATTATATTATAATAATGAAATTATAGGCATTTATATATAGATATATAATATATTAGACTAGCTATACTAAAAACTATACTATATCTATATATAAAGTTACTAATTACTTTATATTAATACCGGACCCGCGTGGTCACGTGACTCTATATAATTAGCTAGCTATAGAAAAGCCCTAAAGCCCGAAACTCACGAAGAGTCTTAAGGGCTTTAGGGCTTCCGGACTATTACTAGTACCCGGCACTCTTTAGGAAAAGAGTATAATACGTTCCATAATAAGTAACCTATTATGAACTACTTAACCTTTAAATTAAGCGGGAAATCTGAGGGCCGGGCTCGTAATTCAAGTCTTATTAAGGTTATTAAAGTCTTTGCTAGCTAGTGCCATAGATTTAATAAAAATATTACGGGAATCCTATAGGTTCTATCCTAATCTATCCAGAAAACGCATATAATATGTCTCCTTATTTATTCCGACATTTATATATGATTCCTGAGAGCCGAACTATTACCTAAAGAGGAAGTGAGAAGGCTAGACTAATACCTTTAAAAACTAAGGCCTTAATAAGTCTATCTAGAAAAGCTTACTAATTCTTCTAAAAATAATCCAAGAAAAGTTTGAGTTTATTATACGTCACGACTTGTATAACCAGGGACAGGAACTACTCCGATAAGCCAGAAAGAGTTTCTTATATGGCTCACTTATATAACCAGGGATAGGGACTTAAGTTTATTATATGGAATTACTCATATATAGAGACTCTTGCTATAAACTCCTCGTTTAGATTAATTAGTTAAACCTATTTTTAATACTAAGTCTTTATTAAGGTAACTTCCCGCTCCCAGAGGCTTTAGATAAAGTAGCTAATAAGTTTCTTAGCTATTAGCCAAGACTTATTAGCTAGAAAATCTATAAGTAGTAGACAAGATTATAAAGCAGAACTTCCCTAACTATAATACTAAGATATTTTACTATAGCGCAAAGTAATTAAATATAGAAGCCCTATTAAATATAATATGTCTCGAACTATAAGTTTGCGAGATAGGTATAAAAAGTCTTAGTACTTAACTAGCACTATAGTCTAGCCTAAAGGCGCCTACTATCCTTTATACCTAATTTAATAGGAATAAGGAATACCTATACTTTAACTCAAGGGATAATTAGGACTTTTATATAGACTTAGGGTAGCGGTTTACTTTATAGAGAGAGAATAAACCAGAAATACCCATACTATATTAATCTTTGGGAGGGGTCACGGTAAATACTATAATTCCTGAAATACTCTCGAGGAAGCTTCCCCGAACCAAAGTAGGCTAGTTTATAATCCTAAAAGATCTATAAGAGTCTTATATGCCCGAGAGTGCAAGCGCTTAAGATAAATACTATTTGAGTCCTAACCCATAATAAAAGGAAAGTAAAACACATAAAATAAAATATATAAAGCAAAAGTAAAACAAAATACCCAGGTATTTAATAAATAGAAAGCCTAACTATAGGCTATAAGAACTAGTACTAACTAGGCACATACACGGTAATATTAAAGGAGAGATAAGGTAAGGGAAACTAAAAAGTAAGTTAGTATATATTTTATAAAAGCAAACGGGAAGACATCTAAATAGCCCGAAGGCAAGAAATATATATTAAAGAAGTCGAGATCAGAGAGAGAAAGGCTATTTCCTATAAGAATAAGTTAGTATATATTTCAAGATAAAGAATAGGGGTATTTAGTAGTGGCCCGAAGGCTTTTGTGAGTATTAAAGGAGGGGAGAAGGTATTAAAGTTCGGAGAGATCTAAATAGGAGTTAGCCTCTTTTTTGGAAGTTTAAGAGAGGGTACTCCTAAAGGGCCCAAAGGCATAAGAGGTATCGGAAAAGGGAAGAAGGAAATATTAGAGAAAGGAAAGAGGAATCTAAAATTTAGCTTTCTAAGGAGCAAGTGGGTTAAAGACTTATGGTATGGGAGTTCTGGATAAAAGTAACCCGGAAGTAGTAGTCAGGTACTAGCTTTTAGTATTATTAGTAGAAGTATTAAAGGAGGAGGGGTTCGGAGGAGGGGTTTGGAGGAGTTCGGAGGAAGAGAGAAAGGTTATAAGGTAATTAGATACTAGCTCTTGGTATTAATAAAAGAAGTATTAAAGGAGGAAGGGTTCGGAAGAGGGGTAAGAAAGAGGAGTAAGGAGAAGGAGTGAGGAGAAGTGAGAAAAAGGAGAGGAAGATTATAAGGTAGTTAGATACTAGCTCTTGGTATTAATAAAGGTATTAATAAAGGTATTAATAAAGGTATTAATAGAGAAGGTATTAGTAGAGGGCAGAAGCTCTTGGTATTAATAGTAAAGTCGAAAAAATATGGAAGAAGGATAGAGGTTTTAGAGCAAAGATAGAATAGAGTTATAGTTTTATAGAAAATAAAGTTACTAGTACGGAATAATTATATTATTATATAATTCCATATTTACTTTTACTATTTATTAAGGATATATATTTCTCAGGAGAAAGTATTACTTAGAATTCTTGAGCCTCTCTAATTTAATAATTATATATTCGAAAAATAAGAAATAAATATGATTATATATGCTAGAATAAGGGGATTCTTCTTATTCAAAAATTATAATTATGGTATTACTAAATATAAAGATATAGAAGTTTATATAATAAGCTATATATAGAGATTTGAGGAGATTTAAATTACCTCGAATTATTTATAATTAGTAAAGTAAATTAGCTAACCATGCGAGTCGAGTATAGTTTAATTATTATTAGTATGCCTTAGCTTTTGTGAGTTAGTAAGAGAAAGAATATTTATATCTTTATCTTTATAACTATAATACCTAAAATTATAATTTTTTTAATATTTAAATATACTTAATCTAGGGCTATTAAGTACTAATATTTCCATTTTCAGGCATTATTTATTATAAATTTATTCGGATTTAAATAATTATATTAAATATATATCTTTATGCCCCAAAAGTAAATAATAAAGACATAGCCACGCTAGCTTTAACCTTAGCCTTAACCTTAACCTTAACCTCTTTCCGAAAATAACTTTGATTCTAATATATAATGCCATTATTAAAGCTCTCCTTTATTAAAGACATATTAAATATGGCTTTAGGCAATGGCTCTAGTAAAGGCAAAAGCGGTAGAAAAGGTAATAAAGCTATAAATAAGCGAAAAGATAATATTTATGATATGCCCTCTAATAATCCAGACTTAGTTTATAATATCCTCTCCCGTTAATATATTTAACTAATAAACCCCTTTGCTTCTCGACCTCCTCCTCGTATATGACCTCCTTTTCCTCCTCCGCAATAATACTTTAATCTCCTTATACTACCCGATAATGCTACTAAAGTAGTAAAGCGAATTAATAATAAGGCTAAAGTTAGAGAGATAGAGCTACGCTAGGGCAGGGAGCTAAAGGAATTAGAGAAAGGCAAGGCAAATCTGGAGGCAAGCTTAGCATATACTCGCGGAACCAAATCCTCTCAAGCTTGTGCTACTTATAGTAATAAGAAAAGACTAAGGGGCCCTTTTAAACGCTATATAGTTATGGAAGGCGAATTTGATAGCGCTTATATAAATTATAGATATAATAATAATGGTAAAGTCTATACTTTCCATTAACTTAACGCTAATCCTACCAAGTCTGGAAAGCCTCGCTTCGTATCTGCAAAACCCTTTATACCAAAGCCTCGACCGCCTATAAGATATAGAAAGCGAGCACAAAGACAGATATAAGGTCAGAAGGCAATGGGGAAGGAGGTTATAGCAGAGGAGGGTGAGGATACTAGAGGAGAAGGGGACGAAGGAGATATAGATAATTCGAGTAATATAGGTAGTACGGAGGATACAGAGAGTGAGGGAGATGGAGATGTGCCTCGTAATCCATGGGATTTGCCTTACGGACCCTTACGGACCACGCAAGCTAAGGGGGGGTTAGGAGTAGTCGAGAATAAGGCGTGTATGCTGTACTTTTTTTTTTTAGTGAGGTGTGGGGGGGGTGGGCGCGAAAATCAGAAAATCAGAAAATCAGAAAATCACTTTTCGCTTCTCGGATTTGTCCGCTAGCCCGCTAATGGCCTCAGTAGAGGCAACTGTCAAATTGGTCTACACCGGAGTACATGTTGTCCACTTTGGCCGCATGTTTTATCAAAAAGACATCACACATCGGTATGTATTTCTCCCAATAAACTCGCTTAAACATACTAGCTGGAGGTGACGAAGTCTGTTGAAGTGACGTCCTAAGAGTTAGCCCGGGAAGAATTATGGTACCAAAAATAGTCAGAGAGATGTTTATGCACAGTGAGAGTCCCATATAAAGGGAAAACGAATCTTTTTTGCAACAGCTGAAGAGAAGCGGTACCTCCATCTGACAAGCTTTTTGCCGAGGACTTTCAGGTACTGCGAGAGGACCCAAATCTATGGAACAAATGCTCCAATGTTCTGAAATCCCATTTGGAACGATTCAAATTATGCACAGTTAAATATTCTGGTGGCCTCGTTCGGTTAGTATTCCGTATAGCCTTGAGGGTATCTGGGTACATAGCAGAAGGGAAAGGCGTGCACGACTGAGATAAGCGAGATTGAGTTCAATACTTTTTTATATTGGGGATGGAATAGCCCATTGAATATGCGGCCCGTATTCTATTTATAATGTCTTTGTATGCCAAACTCAAGTAAATTCCTATGGCCAGGCCCGTGGAGCCGAGATTAGCAGCATGGATATCCAGATCTTCACTATGTCAGGACAACGGGCCATGGAGAGAAATCTACAATCCGCTCTACTCTTCCGGTCCTTCCGCAGCAGGCATCTTCTACATAACTGCGATATGGCTTACCCATTTTCTCATACCTTCCATCTTGCATATTTTTGAAGATGATTTCTTTCGTGATGTTCTTTCGAGTTGTATTTTTTCTTGCTTGCATCTTTTCTACTTCTCATGGCGTCACGAATTGCCCCTTGGAGGGCCCAATCTTCCCAAAACCTCAGAACCTTTCCACAAGCGCAACAATAAAAGCTGCTATGAAAGATCTTACTGCTGTTTTGGTGGCAAGAGATGCGGATAACTCGACAGGCGTCTACACAAACTCGTATTCCGTTCAAGCATTTTCAACAAGTGATACCGGAAGCACGCCTCTCTTTCATCACTACTACACTGCACCGAACCTTGCAACTTTCAATTCGACGGGGGTCACCCAGGTGGACGCGGATACGGTCTACCGGATGGGAAACTTAACTAAGATCTTCACGGTATACACTTTTTTAGTCGAAGCGGGAGATATTCATTTCAACTCTCCCATAACCGACTATGTTCCAGAACTTGCTGCTTTACTCAACAATCGCAGTGCGAATGCAATTAAAAGGGTAGCATAGGAAGATATTACCATTGGAGACCTGGCAAGTCACATGGCTGGGATTGCATCAGACAGTAAGAAAGAAAAGAAGATGACAGATTATGTTCTGACATAAAATCCAGATTCGCTGATGGGGAATTGACTCAAACTATCGCGCCAAATGTCTCTGTCGAGATTGGATTTCCTCCCTTAGCCCAGACAGAGGTTCCAAAGTGTGGTGCTTATCCACTGTGCAATCGGACAGGTAACATTTTCTAATTTTCATCGCCTCTTTTACTAGCAATGAACACTGAATTCGGACGAAAAGATTGGGAAAGTGGCTGATGTGATTCCATGAAGAGTTTTTTGCTGGCTTCTCCCATCTCTACCCAGCTTTCGCCCCTGGAGAGACCCTGGCTTACTCAAATGTCGCCTTTCAAATATTGTCATATGCACTTGAGACGATGGCGGGGAGGAACTACCAGACGTCCCTTCAAGACAAGCTGCTCAAACCACTGAATTTGGCTCACACATTTTATACGATGCCGAACGAATCAATTGGTGTGATACCCGGAAATGCTTCAAGTACTAGATGGACCAATAATCTAGGAGAAGAGTCCCCGTGAGTACCTCGGTTGTTTGATTCTAGTGCAATAGCTGACAATCTTAGTGCTGGAATGATGTACTCAACCATTGCTGACATCTCATCGCTTGGACGCTCCATCCTGCGGTCATCACTTCTCAGCCCAGCCCAAACCCGACGATGGTTTAAGCCTACCGCATTAACGTCTGATCTCTGAGAGACTGTCGGATATCCCTGGGGCATTCGAAGAATAATCATGGACCCAGACAGACCATATGAGCTAATCACCGCATACAACAAAGCAAGCAGTATTGGTTCATACAGCTCCCTCCTCGCGCTCTTGCCCGAGTTCGGTATTGGATTTTCCGTGCTCATAGCAGGTGACCATGCCTTGAACAATTGGGTGTTAGCAGACACGCTTGGAAATTCTATTACAACAAGCAGTTAGGGAAGAAGCGCAGGCGAACTACGCTGGAAACTATTTAAGCTCTGAACTCAACTCTTCTGTTACCTTCATTACAGACACCTCTAAACCTGGTCTTGGTATAACGTCTTGGATCAGCAATGGAACGGACATGATGGCCGTATCGACTTATCTCCTGACAAGCTCTATAAGCGCAAACTTCAGCGCTAGACTGTACCCTACGGACTTGCAAGTGACTGCGGCCGATGGAAGCAAGCAGGTGGTTTTGAAGGCCATTTTCGAGGATTTGGCGACTCAGGCAAAAGACAGCAAGTTTACGGCAGTATGTGGAACTTGGATTGAACCGACTGCATTCGTTTATGGGGCAATGGCACTGGATGGATTCGTATTCACTCTTGATCCTTCTGGAATGCGGTAAGCGTTGAGGTGTCAGCTCTGAGGCTGTCTATGAGCCGGACTAGAACTTGAAAGTCTTAACCAAAACATTAGAATGTAAGATTATGAAGTATGTGCAATAGAATCAAGTTACAAGACTCATTGAATCACATCGCAGGGTCTTCCCCAAAGTGGTGATACCGACAGCAGTACAGAGTGCTTAAGAAGAATGACAGTTGGTTGTTTAACCTGAATCCTAACTCGAATGAAATCTGTTTCTTTTGGAAAGGTGAGCAGGGCTGCTTTATCAGTAATCCTGGGTGAGCTAAGGTGAGTAAGGGTGAGAAATAGTGGACTGTAGTAGAGCCACCCTAAGTGTGCATGAAGAGGCCATTTTAGCGTCCAAAGGGGCTTGTTTTGGCTCCCTTAAGGCCCGATTGCACTTTCCTTGTTTCGAAGCGAAGATTCTATTTTGGTTCCCTTACTATATGATCGAGATCCCCCGGGAGGAACGCGACTCGGAGGATTTAGCCCATATACGTTACCCCATTAATAAGACCTTTGTATAAGTTCTCAACGTGTCCCACGTGATGCCAGGGCTCGGTCAGTAGATCGCGCAAATCTGGTGGGTCTGAGTTATGTGGAGTAAATTAAGGTAAGTTGGCCAATTAAAGCGATAGAGAGCTAAGGACAATACGAAAGCGCGCGGCATTGAAATCCGTCCAACTCGATAAGCGAGGACGGGCACAATTTTAACGCTCGCATTACAAAAATTCTCATAATTCCGCATTATGTTCTATTATTATAAAATTTTCGCCAGAGTTAGATCTGCTTCTTTTCTATTATATAAAGCACTTTTGAAGAGTTTCGGGCGTTCCATTGAGATTTGGTGTGATTTTCTGAACGTAGCGATTTTGGTGTTCCTCGCATTTTGGCAAATGGACGGTTTTCAACGCCGCGCGCTTTTGTACAGCGTTTCAGAGCAAGTTAAACGGTTTTATAGAAAATCGCAGCACTTTTATATAAGGAATTAACCTTTAAATTTAACACAGCACTTTATACATTTAATAACGTTTAATTGTCTTAAAAATAAATCTATGTATATCACTGTAGGCCCAAATCCAAGCTCCTTAGGTCCAGCCAACTATCTACGACGAAGCCGCTCAAACAATTCCATTCGTGTCTTCGATACCCCTATATTCCCCGCTGATTTCCCTCCATCGCTTTTTTTAAGGAACGCACAAATCGTCCTCTAATCTAATTGCGCCTGAACATCATCCGATAATCTATAGCCTAACATCCTCTCCAGCCCCCTCAAAGCCTCAGGCCTCGGGCATCGACATCCCTCTCTATATCTCATCCTCCCCGATTGAAATAGGCCCAGTTTCGTAAGCTCCCTCTTTCCCCTATCTCCAGTTCTCACAAGCGGCATTACGCTCGGTTCACCACCACTTTCGAGGAACTTCTTAAAAGGTATGAGAAAAGCATGTACTCTAGGTTCGATATCCCGATTCCCTAATACAGCTTCCCGAATCATCTCAGGGTATTGATCTAGCAATATCAAGCGTACGTTTTCCAGACATTGAGAAACCGGTTCCACGATAGGGGAGAATTCAGAAGTATATGGATCGCTACCGTATAGTTCGTGGGTGAATAGGTAATGGAGATGAATGATGATGCATCAACATACTGTTTCGAGAAGGCTGAGTTTAAACCATGGAGCGAGAACTTGGCTTAATTTTCGCTCAACGAAAATTAAATACTCGTGTTCCTCAGGTCCAGGGGGCCGTTTGAGCATTATTTGTACTTGGTTGAAGTGGTGCTTTAGGATTTTGTATATTGTGTGGTCGAAGTCATGTTCTGTTGCTGTTCTTAAATTTATGTGTGCTCGTTTTATGAGAACTTTTCCGAGGATGACCTCGAGGTACTCCAGTACAGAAGAGTTTTTGTACTGCTGATTTAAAGTACCCTCAAGCAGGCGATAGAAACATCCCTCAACAAGGATATCATCGGCACAAGTTGCTAAGATCTTATCGTATTTCGGTGCATCAGCGGGAAGAAAGTCCTGAATCCCCTCCCTTAGATATCGTTTATATAGTGAAACGGGCGCAGATAGTCTCAGACTTGTCTGATCATTCGGAATCAAACCAACAAGCTGAGGGATCAGTCCCTCTTCAGCAATTCGCTCTAACACAAAATCCTTGATTCTAGTTAGCATTACTTTCTTATCTAGTAAAACACTTCACGCTCACCGGTGGCCCAAAGAAGAACGCATGTTTCGGCCACCCAAACCTCTTAGCATTCGAATCCTTCATCACCGTATGCAAAATATTGTAATTCATCCCATGCTCATCATTATCGTAACGCGGAAAAATCCGACCCTGCCACTCCGCAAAATTCTCAAACGACGCGTCGACTAGCATTGCCACAATCACGCAATCATTATCATACTGCCCGATACTCGCCGGAGGCAAAAACCGCCATTTCTCAATCGGTTTCGTATGCCCAATAATCTCAGATGATTCTCAAGAAGCCATTCAGCGTGCCCCCTCGCTAATGCTGCCCTCCGCCAGTAACGACGAAAATGCTCGCATTTCCAGATATCCTTTCTTTGGGAGGCCCATTCTGCGGCTTTGCTCCAGAGCTGAGAGATGGAGCCGTATTTATGGAGGATCATTTGTATCTGGGCGTATTCGTCAAGGTTGACACCTTTTTCTTCTTTCGGATCTGGGTCGCGGCAAAGAAAGCCGAGTTCGGATGGTGTTTCTGAGAAGGATGGGTAGCTTGGGTTGTTGAAGATTGGGCTAAAGTTTGAGCTGGATAGTTCAGTTTCTAGTTTCCATTCGAGATAGAGAAATAAGGCTTCTCGGATGTAGGAGAATGCGGCGGCTTTGTACTGCGAAGCTATAGAAACTCTTATTATTATATAATTCTTAAAAGAAAAAGAAGAAGAATATATAAATTATAAATATAAATATAAATATAAATATAAATATAAATATAAATATAAATATAAATATAAATATAAATATAAATATAAATATAAATATAAATATAAATATAAATAATAAAATATAATATAAAAATAAATATAAATATAAATATAATATAAATATAAATATAAATATAAAATAATATAAATATAAATATAAATATAAATATAAATATAAATATAAATATAAATATAATATAAATATAATATAAATATAAATATAATACTAATATAAATATAAATTATAAATATAAATATTAAATATAATATAAATATAATAAATAATATATAAAAAAGTAAAGTTTTATTTATTAGTTATCAATTAATAAAATACTAAAATATAAAACTAAAGTAATAAAAGTAATAAAAGAAATTTTAAATATTAGTTAAGTTATTTAATATAAATAAGAAATAAAATTTAAGAAAATAAAATAAATAAGAGAAATAATTAAAGAAAATTTATTAATAAAGAAAACTCTAAAGGAAATAATTACTAAAATAAGAATATATAATAGTACTAGCCAGGGTTATATAGAAAATAGCTATCTAATAACTAAGTATATAATAATAGTATATAGGCAGATATTAAGATATTATAGTTTGTTTCTTATTTTAAAATAAGTTTATAATTGGAATTATACGATATATATAAGAGATTGCATTTCCGAATTAAATAAAAGGGGCTTTATATACTTGGCTAAATACTAGACGAATATATAAAGAGATATTTCTAGCTTCTAAAAGAGGTATTATTAGTTTTTTATTAGAATTAATTCCTTGAAAATTGTTACTATTATAAGTATTATTCTATAGCTTATTTATTTTAATTACTTATATATCTACT